AGATACACCTTCTCCTCCGAGAAGACAGCCATGAGGAAGGAGTAATGAAGTAAGGAGACTCAGCCATGCAGCCTGGGGTAATAAGAAGGAAGCCATACGTGCTGAGGAAAGGGTGGAAGGAGAGCTGGGAGAACAGTGTGGGGATCTGGAAAAGGTGACAGAGCTGTGTGGGGGAACCTGCTGAACCAAGCATGGATTTGTGAGAGATGCCTGAAATGCTGAACTGTGACCGGGAAATGCCAACTTCTGCTTCTCTGAAGGACATACGGAGAAGCTACTCTTCGAATGTGTGCCTTCCTGGACTCTACCATGATCCAGTGTAACACGGCACATATTTTCCTGTATTACAGGAAGGCTGAGGACAGTGAACCCCAGATCCTGAAGGAGAGAGCTGCTGCGAGAGGATGGTGACTCTAAACCCCACGTGTACCTTCCAGAGAGGATGGAGAACTGTTTGTGCATCCGGCTTAAGAACAGATAGGGACATGGGGAACTACCGGGCTTGTCTTTGGCTTACAGCCTAGTGGGGAGCAAAGGAAGCGCTGCGTCTCATGGGAGAACAGGACTCCAAAGAGGAGTGCTCTCAGCCCCAACTGAGGTGGAGTCCTATAAATAAAAACCTGTTTCCTGCCCTGGCTGTTGTGGCTCCATGGCTTGACTGCCAGCCTGCAAACCAAAATGCTGCCAGTTCGATTCCCAGTCAGGACACATGCCTGGGTTGCAGGCCAGGTCCCCAGCTGGGGGTGTGCAATAGGCAACTGATCGGTTTCTCTCCCTCTCTTTTCCCTCCCTCCCTCTCTCTCTAAAAATGAATCAATAAAATCTTAAAAAACAAAAATCCTGTTTCCCTCTATACTAACTGTTGGGTCGTTCACCACGGTTCTACATGAACAAACTCCAGTTTACTCAGTTACAGTGGTCGGGGTGTAGTGAGGATAATGGACTGGGCCCACATGACAGATTACCTTACAAGTGCTCCACCAGAAAACTCTAGACCAACTGATGAAGACTATGTTTCTGGTGAAAATCTAAAACTGCAATTAGGTCAGGTATTAAATATAGATTTGATAAAATGGGCTTTACCACAGTTATGCCAAATCGGGGCTGTGATTTTCCTTTTAAGGAAAAGAATAAAACTTCTCCTATTTGCAGAGAACGTAGTGTCTTAGTCCACCGGGAAATAGGACTGGGTAGCTTGCACAACACTTCTTAGGTCTGGAGGCTGGAAGTCAGTGCAGTACGGTCAGGAGAGGGCTCTCCTCCAGATTGTAGACTTCTCCTTGTATCCTCACATGGTGGAAGGGGCTCTGAGACCTGTGGGATCTCTTTAATGAAAGCACTATCCTCAATTTGTACAACTACATTCATAGGTAAGGTGGCTTATAATCTCCCATACACCTTTTTGGCACTATTTATGAGATTTCTGGGTATTAAAACTATTCAAAAATTGTAAAGTAAATTGAAGACCTTTTCATTTTTTCCAAGGGCCTGGACTAATTTTGTGGAAAAGGGGCCATATATTAATCTGATAAGCTCAGGGGAGGCCTGTGAGGCAGGCTTACAAACTCAGAAACCTAAAGTAGCCACAAAGGATGGTCTGAAATTAAAACATATGAACTAAAAACAGTTCATGGTGGGCAGTCATGTATTTTTCCCTAACAAAGGTTAATCTCTACTTGTGCATTGTCATTTTGCATCTATGGTAACATACCTTTGGAAGTAAAGGTAGCCTCCCCCTTTCCCCAAATCCCTTGGGCACAGGCTGAGACCACAAATCCCCTCACTGTTATTGTTATCTTGTTAATTGTGGACCGTTAACGATCCTTTACCCACCTATGTAAAAGAAGTATATATCATTTTACCTTTTATCCAATCCCAGAGGTTTCCCCCACTTTGCTTTCTCCTCCCTCCCTAATCTATCACCAGTGGACTTCATGTTAACCCCTTATGGCTCTTCCTTCTATTCTAATGTATAAAATAAGGTGCTAAATTGCCATTTGCTGGGATATTTTTCAATTCCTTGAGATACTGCTTTCTGGCATCACTGTCAGTTTGGCTCAAATAAACTCACCAAAAATTCTCTACAGGTTTGAATGTTTCTTAAGTTGACAATTTAAATAACACAGCTATAATGTTTGAAAACAATAACAGGTGGCATTTATTGAATGTTTTATTACCTGTAAACACATCACATGTATTGACTCAGGTATATAATAATTCAGTTGTGAATCTGTCTTGTCACAGTGCTTTTTCAACAGATCTTTTCCTAACTTTCTCATTAATTTTGTGATAATCTCAAGTTGTCCATTTTAGTGAGGGGCTAAATTTTGTATTTTTATAGAAAATCACTTATGTACTGGTTTCAAATCTGCTTATACGAAGGTACACATAGACTTTCACTTTGCTTTTAAGCCACATGTCCCCTTCTCCCTTTGTGATCTCAATTAAATTGCTCTACACATATTTCCTTAACTCAGCAATTTTTAACCTTTTTCATCTCATGACGCACATAAACTAATTACTGAAATTCTGCAGTACACCGAAAAAACATTTTATTTTTTGCCAATCTGAAAAAAAAATAGATGTAATTTTGATGCTTCACACTGAATAACTACTGTTGTTATTCAGATTGTTAGCTATTGCTTTTTTTTTGACAATGTAAGGAAAAAGAGGTCTGTGCCCTGACTAACAATCATGTATGTTTTTACAATTCTTATGGCATACCAGAGTGCCTGCCTGCATGGCGTACTGGCTGAAAATCACCGCCTTAATTAAATCCAAGAGGGTTTCATCTACGTCCTGGTCTTTACGAAGACCAAGTTTATGGATTTATTTGTCCTTTTTGTTTTCGTTTTCTATTAGTTTTAATGTCTACCTTTGTTTTTCATTTTCCAAACTTTCTCTTGGTGTGTTATTTTTCAATTCCTTTAAGATGTGTACTAAGTTCCTGGCCTAGTCACAAAGCTTTTACCTCTTATATCTAAAGCTTTCCTTTAAACTCAGCTTTGTGACATCACCAGTCAAATGGGACACATGAACTCTAAATGGATCCTGGATCAGAATCAATCAGTTAATTAAAATAAAAAAATATACTATAATTTTTTTTTAGTAATTGGGGAAATTTTATATACAATATGTTAGATTACAATATTTGAATTACTGTTTACTTTCTTATGAGTGATGCTGACACGGTGGCTATGTAGGACTCTCCTTATTTTTAGTTAGCGCATACTGAATTGTTTAGGCATGAAATGTTATGACATCTACAACTTATTTTTAAATGTTTTGTGGGCTGAACTGTTTCTCTCCACTGCAAAATTCATATGCTGAAGCTCAGAATGTGACTGTTTTGGAGATACGGCCTTTGTAGAGGTAATTAAACTAAAATAAGGCCATTATGGTGGGCCGTAATCCAACATGACTGGTGTCCTTGTAAGATACTGGGCACAGAGAGAGACACCAGGGATGTACAAACAGAGGGACAACCACATAAAGAGGCAGTAAGAAGATGGTTGACTGCAAGCCAAGAGAGGCCTCAGAAGAGACCAACTGCTCCAGTATCTTGACCTTGAACTTGCCACCTCTATAAGTGTGTAAATTTCTGTTGTTCTAAGACAGTTAGTCTGTGGTATTTTGCTATGGAAGTCCCACCCAACTAATCTAAATGGCTCTAAGGGGGAAAAGGATAAATATAAAAAAAAGCAAAACTGGAAAATGTTAATGTTGCTGAATCTAGGTGGAGGGTAAATGGATGTTCATTACATCATCCTTTCAACTTTCATGTAATTGTGAATTTTTCTAAAATAAAAAGTTTGGGTGGGAACTTTCACAAAGAAACTCATGTATGTTTGTGTGTGTATGTTTATATTTATATATATAATTAGTTTGCTAGGGTTGCCAGAGATTGACTTAAACAGAAATTTTATTTCTGCCCTGACTGGTGTGTCTTAGTACATTGAGTGCCGGCCTGTGAACCAAAGGGTCGCTGGTTCAATTTCCAGTCAGGGCACATGCCTGGGTTGCAGGCCAGGTCCCCAGTACAGAAAACACGAGAGGCAACCACACATCAATGTTTCTCTCCCTTCCACCTCTCTAAAAATAAATAAATTAAAATTAAATTTATTTCACACAGTTCTGGAGGCGAGAAGTTATAACATGAAATGAAACTGTCCTTTTTTGGTGATACTTGCCTTATAACTTTCTGTAACAGACTAAAAAAACCGCTTAAGATTTCAGGTTAACTATGCACTACTTTTCTATCCTATTGCCTCTGGTAATCTCTTATTTGTGCTACCACTTGTGCCAAGAGAGACACAAGCCAGTCCTTGCCAACTACCAAAAAAAAATAACTGTTTTAGCCAAAAATCATCAACAGATGGTAAAATTGGTACTGGCAGAGAAGAATAGTCTAGAAAAATACTTAGCATGTTGCTTCTTGATTAGTCAACATTGCAAAACTTTAGGAATTTTATATCACTACTGTCAAATTATATGTAGCAACAGGAAATAAACCATCTTATTACCATACCTGTTAAATGAAGCTATTATCATCTAACATTAATAGGTATGTAGAAGAGTTCAGTGAAATAAAATGTTCTAAGCTACTAACATAATGCCTAGTAGAGTAAGAACTTAATAAATACTGGGTATCACCAGTATTATATTCAAATTCCAAATAAAAATGTAATTCTGCTTCAAGCTGCCACTGTTCTTGCCCTACATATAAGTAGCAGTTTAAGAATATCACTTAATCCTGAAAGCAATCAACTTGATCCTTACATATATACCAAAAGAACCAATCATTACAAGTAACTATGCAAGTTTTTCTACACTATTGAATTTTTTTATATAAATATTCAGAAAAATGTCCTGGCTGGTGTGGCTCAGTGGATTGAGTGCTGACCTGCAAACCAGAAAAACAAATCACATCCTTGAGGTAACAAATCGGCAAAGGAGTAACAAAAACTTTCTGAAACGAAAATGAAAAAGTTTTAACTTACTGACTGACTAGGTCGGATGCCACCTTAGAGCCATCATCTGCCTCCTCTTCCACATCGGAGTCCACGGCAGTGTCACCTTGTAAATGAAATACGCTACTGAAAGCACGCGTATAAAATGTCGGAGCAATTTAATTTCAATCATTACACACAATGAGTTGTCTTTATACGTGATGCAGATTAAGGAACTTTATAGTTTACAGGTAACTAAAAACAATGAGAATATAAAGCAGCAAATAAGTTATTTACAAGAAATCTTTGCTTTTCAAAAAATAACTTTATAGTATTCTGGTTAAATATTTTTATTTCATTTTATTATTGTATATGAATATGCTCTTATCTGTACTCTTGAGATGAAAAAACCATACGTACATCAGAGTCTATTCTTAAAATGCTATTCTGATATCTACACTGTATTTCTCTGTACAAAAAGAGGTAAAAATACTTTTCAATGATTACTCAATAATGAAATTAAAGTAATAGTCAAGTAAGAAAAAAATACCTCAGGGTATATTCTGAACATAATATTAACTAAAAAGTTTTCAGAATGTAGAACTATGTATTCTTACCCTCAAGAATCTTCAAGATTTTTTTTTCAGACAGGAGCTCTAACTGTTCTTGGCACAGTTTTTTAATTTCTTCTATTGAACAGTTCTAAAGAAAATGACATTTTAAAAAGTACATTTATGAAATACAATGCCAATGGAAACTAGAAAACAGAAATCACAGAAAAAGTCCAATTAGCATAATCGTACAATAAAACAAATTAAAAAGACACATAAATGCTCTTATGGGATGAAATCTGATAAACTGCCAGCTAGCATGTGAACATCACAAGACTTGATGAGAATGTATAGTCATGTTTATCATGAAACAAGCTAAAGAGTATGTCAGGATCCCAGATACTCTTAACAGCATCCTATTCATGTTAGGTAATTCCTCTCAAGGTTTAAATATTCAAGTCCCAGCTCTATATATCTTAGATCTATGATCTGGGGCCTAACTTGTCTAAGATTAGATAGAATACCACATATTTCTCTGAGTAATTTTCAGAAATGTATGAAAACATTTGTAAATTTAATGAAGTATAATCCACTACCAAACATCACTATATATTTTTACACAGAAGTATATCATTTCTTAAAACACCAGAAAGAATCATTATACCTCTAGTTTAATTACTAACACGGTCTGCATTTAACAGAATTATTTCCAGAAGGTCAATAAATTCCTTACCTAAGCACAGTAAATTTCCCCATTTTTTTCTTGGTAATTTTCTACATATACAAAGTCATTTACAGATCTCCAAAATCCCTTAGCTTGTTTTAATTAAAAACATTCAATTATAATTTGCATTAAGCAAATTTGCTATAAAAAAGTTTTTGTACATCTGATAATGTATATAATAAAGTACCTTTAACACATCAGGAAGCATTTTCTGTAACTTCTTCTCTCCTATGATACAGAAACACTGCTGAAGCATTTCTTTCTTGTCTGATATATAGAAACTAACTGGTTTTAATGACACGGTCAGGTCCATACCACCTTCTTCAAGGTCACTGTTGTCTGCCAAAAATAATTCTTTCTCCAAAGTTGGTAAAAGATATTTGGGTTCCTAAAATTAAAGAAGAGAAAGAACCATTAAATACTACTAGTGAAAGTATACAGAATATGTATAAAATGTCATATTTTCATTAAATAAGTTCTTCTTCATTAAGTATTTCCAAGTTCTTGGTTTACACACATTATCTAAAACCATAGGAAAGAATATTTAATTGTTCAGTATTCCTTGAACTTACTCTCTATACCACAATTCACTCATTACATTTATATAAGTTGAAAGATAATATCTTTGAGAACACAAATGAAAATACACTCACTATTGAATGATGTTCTATAATTTTAGTCTTTGGAAGAATTAGAATATTCCTCAAATTTTCCATTCACCAAAAGTTCTATGTATATATTGCCATCATTCTTAAGTTTACATAAAAAAATGGGATAGTAGCAAAAATATCACAAATCACAAATATTATACATCAATGTATAATATCACTTCTTACCTGGAGTTATTATCAATTTTAAAATTGTTATATTACTTTATCATAGTCAAAGTAGCCAAGTAATTTAAAACATTTATGTCAATTTTACCACCTATCTCCCAAATCTATCCAGTCTCTCCAAATCTACTGCCGTAATCCTGGTCCAAGGTACCATTACCTTTTGCCTATATTAACTCAATAGCTGCTTAACTGTACTTGCTGCATCTAATGAGGTTTCTCCGGTCTGTTCCATATACTGTTATCAGAATGGATTTTATAAAATTTAGGTAATATTCATGGTATTACCATGAATTCACAGAGGTATATGACCCTCTGTGAATTACTCAAATATTTAATATAACCTGTTCTCCCTTCCCCTCATCTAGGCAGGACTTTTGTACATACTGTTTGTTCTGCCTAGAACAGGCTGCCCCACCTATTTCCCATAACATACACACTACTCTTCCAAGATTAAAAAAATTCAGATATCAATTCAAAGTCATTTTCTCTCAAAAATCCTAACTATATAATATAGATAAAAACCCTTGTTGTATTTTCTAATGAATTTTTTTTAAAAGCATTTTTTTTAAAAAGCCAATTTTAAAGGAAAGTATTATTAGACTGAATAAGTAGAGGTCAACTCTTATTCTAATGGCTTGCACAGTAATTCAAATGTTAGTAACAACTTAGAGAACCCTCATATACTGCTAGTAGGAACATAAAATGGTATAGCCACTCTGGAGAACAGTTTGGCAGTTTCTTGAGAAGTTACTGCATGACGTAGCAATCCATTCCTTGATATATATCCAATATAAATGTAAGCATATACCTGCACAAAAACATGTACACAAATGTTCATAATACCACTATTCATAAAAGGCAAAAGGTGGAAGCAATCCAAATGTCCCACCAAGTGACAAATGAGAAAACCAGAGCCCTGGCTGGTGTAGCTCAGTGGATTGAGCACAGGCCTGCGAACCAGAGGATCGCGGTTCAATTCCCAGTCAGGGCACATGCCTGGGTTGCAAGCAAGTTCCCTGCAGGCCAGTTCCCAGCAGGGGACTCACTAGAGGCAACCATACATTGATGTTTCTCTCCCTCTCTCCTTCCCCTCTAAAGACAAATAAATAAATAAATATTAAAAAAAAAAAAAACAACAACAAATGTGGCATTACTCAGCCATAAAAAGAAGTAGCGACATGTGTTATAACTCGGATGAACTTTGAAGAAACCTGCTAAGTGAAAGAAGCCAGTCACAAAAGATTCTATCATATAAAATGTCCAGAACAGGAGAATAAATAAATCTCTAGAGATAGTAAGTACATTAGTGGTTGCCTAGAGAGGGAACAAGGTGTGTCTTACGAGTGATAACTAAAAAGTACACACAGGGGTTCTTTGGGGGGAGGCGTGATAAAAATATTTTCAAATTGACTATAATGTGGTGGTTGCACAATTCTGTGAATATACTCAAAACAAATTAACTGTGTACTTGGAATGGGTGAAATATGGGATGCAGTATTTCTATGAAGCTGTTATAAATAAATAGGAACTCAATATACAACAAATATAATGGCACTCTTGGAATTCTGAGATTAATCTATAAACCTAACATGTAATTTTTTTTTAATTTCACAAATACATTTACTTTTCACTAAAAATAGGTTTTAGGCCTTGGCCAGGGTGGCTCAACTGGTTGGAGCATCATCCTGTAAACCGAAAGGTCGTGTGTGGGTTTGATGCCTGGTCAGGCATATGCCTATAGGTTAAGTTTCTTTTTCTCTGCCTCTCTCTCCCTTCTCCTTTTCTAAAATTAATAAGCATGTCCTATGGTGAGGATAAAAAAATAGGGTGTAGTTCTGTATGCAAATGTTTACAACTTAGTACTACTGGTCCGAGCATCACAATACTGAGTACTAAATATATGGAGACCATTTAAGATAAAAATGGTGATATCCAAAATTGAATCTAGAAGGGGTGGGAAAACTGAGTAGATTTTTAACTATCAAAGTATTTGGAAAAAAGAGTTAAGAGAAAAAAAAGAAACAAACCACCAGACCTGACATGCAGTATAATTCAATGGTCAAGTTCAAACAAATCTTGGGGGAAAAGATATGAACTTTTGTGGAACACACACATACACATACACAAAAGCAAAGGTTCCTAGCACAATCCATGAGGCTAGCAGAATCCTGATACCAAAACCAGAGAAGATTACTACAAAAATAAAACCATAGGCTCCTTTAACTTAGAAATATAGATTGGATTAAAAGTAAAAATACTGAATTCCAGCCAAGTATAACCAAACCAATATATCAAACAGGATCTATCTCAAGACTGCAAGGACAGTTCAATATTAGTTCATTTATCAATAAAAATCACACTTCCTGATTACCGGAGGGGAACTATTTGATCATGTCAACAGAGTGCCGTAAAAGCATCTGATAAAACTCTACAGCCATCATCAAACTGGGAATTGAAGAAAACTTCCTTAACCTGATCAGAGGTATCTTTCAAAACCTATGGCAAATATATTCTGGTAGAACATTACAAATGTTCCAACTAAAAAAAAGGATTGGGTAAAGAATGTCTGCTATTACTGCTTCTGCTGAACACTACATAATGCCAAAAAAAAAAGACAAGAAAAAGAGAAACACAGAGGTGGGCAAAAGTAGTTTTAAAGTTGTTAGTATGTGAAACATAATTTATTCTTGTATTACTTCTTAATTATTATATTACTTACTTGTATTATAACTGTAATCCTACTTTGGCCACCCCTGTATAGTGCTGAAAAAGAGACAAAACTCTCACTGTTAGCAGAGTTTCTTCTGTGAGTCAACTTTAAACTAACAGTGTGGCTAGATACAAGAAAATAAAAATAAATGGCCTTCTATGCTTCCACAACTCCCGATTTAAAAATGTAATGTTAAAAAACACAGAATAGTTTTATAATTTTCTATTAGAAAAAAACCTTTTGAAAAACACATGATCCAAAAATTATACTAAATTAATGAGTCTTGACCACAACAAAATCAAAACATTCAGTACATCGTGGCCAAAGTTATAGAAACATTTGTAACACACCTTACACAAAGCATTTGCACCAAGACCTTATGTAGAGTCATCATAACTTATCAGTAAAAAGTTGAAAACAAAACAAAAAAAATCTGAGAATAGGTATATCCAATTTACATAAAAAATCAGATGACAAAAACATCAAAATATTAATCTCATGATTAATCAGAAAAATATAAATTAAAACAAATTAAACATTGATTTCACTCATTAAGGTAACAACATTTTAAAAAATGGATGTAGTGAAAATTTGCAGAGATGGGTATTCTTATATATTTTCCATTTTATAAATCAGTAAGGCTTTTTTGGGAAGCATCTGGTAGTACTTATTAATTTTTGAAAAATGCATAAATATTAACCCAACATTAACTTGAGTTAATGTCAAGTCTCATTAACTTGAGACTCCAACCTAAAGTAATTCTCCCACAGGACATACGTACAAGGATGTTCACTTTTGTATCATGTCTGCAACAGCAAGAAAACTGGACTCCTAAATATTCATCAATAAAAATACAATGAAATGTTGTGCAGTCATTAAAAAATAAGGTATTGCATGCGTAAAGACCCCTTATCCCAACAATGCAGCCGCATCATCCAATTCAATGGGGGGCACTGTTACAATGAACCTTATGTGTAGAAATTTAAATATACATATCTGAAAAGAATTAATGAAGAGGCTGCACATCAAACTATTAATGGGGAGAGAGGCTTAGTGAAAGACTTCGTCGCTTTTCCCTTTATTTCTGCGCTGTAAAACTTTAAGTGTGTATTTATGCACGTTTTATAATATACTATAAGAAAACTTATTTTAGACAGCTGTATCCTACAGGTCGATAGGACATAAAGAACACGTCTTTTGTGTAGCCAGATAATTGGACACAAATTAGGTGTTGTAACAAACTGTGACGGTGAGTAAATTTCCATAACCTCTTTGAGTCTGTTTTTTCTCATCTTGTAATGTGGAGTTAACCATAACCTGTTAAAGGTGAACAGAAGTAGAGTGGCTTGCAAGTGCATTAAAGGCTGGGCCCCTAACTCATACTTGTTTAAGGAGACTTAGGAGACCAAAAGGAGTGGAGGGGGCCACTCCTCCACTTGGGGGCAAAATGAGTTAGATACCTGCGGGTAGCTACTTGCTAGTAGCTGGTAGCTAATGCAGGTACTTGAAGTTCAAAACATGGGAGTGTGAGGTTCACCGGGACTAATATTGGTTTGGCAACGCTAACAGTGAACTACAGCCGGCGCCCTTGCCGATCGTCACCCACATTTCTCCGAAAATGCAGCAGCAGGGAGATCAGTGAGAAGGGCGCCCACACACCTGTTGCATGGAGCCCGAAACACTGGAAGATGAATCAGTGCTCCTCCGCTTCCGGCGCTCGCTGCGCTCCCCACCGCTCCCAGCGCCAGCGACGCTCCCCGTGTTCCCACAGCAGGTGAAGCTCCCGCAGCCACTGAAGCTCCCATTGCCACTGCTGGCGAGGGTGGGTCCCAGGTCCGGCGCTGCGAGCGTAGCCGCAGCCTCCTGACTGCTTCTTTTACGCCGCTTCTCCCGGGAAGATTTCTTTCCCGTCATGATCCTTTTGCTAAAACCATCGGGAGAAAGCCCGCCCTCTTCGAACCGATCTAAACCTCCCTTAAGGCGCCGAGTGGCCACAGCAGGAGACCGCGTCTCAGTTTTACGTCACTTCCGAGATCGTCGCCGGCGTCGTGAGTCGTTGCTGTAGGCGGGGCCTGGACTAATGGCACCGCCTCCACGAGTCCCGGAGGTGGGTGTATTTGCATCAGGGTTGGCTCAGTGCTTAGTTTTCAGTAGTTCGGGTTTTTTTTTGTTTTTTTTTTTTTTACCCTTACAGAGGCCGGAATATGGCCTATTACTTCAGCTCTTTGCCATATTGATACTGCTTTGTAATCTGTCAGTATACAAATGCTCAGTAAAGGTACAGTTCTTGATTTTCGGACTTAATTTTTCTTCCAATTTTTATGACACAAATAGTACTGCAACCGAGTTTAGAGAAAATATCATCATCACCTGGGCACATTTTACAAAATATATTTTAGGGCGTTGTACAGGACTTGTGTTTCGTTGTTTTCCCCATTAACACTAATTTGTAAGCATAATTCCTTTTCACTTCTAAAGGCACTTAGCGCTGGAATTTCATTCTCTTTTCTCAATATATTTTCAAATTCTGGTATTTAGGTTGTTGACATTTTATCATGTTTCAGAATAATGAAGCTATAAGAAGATTAAGAAAAAAACTGCATTTCCCCATGATATCTTGTTTTCCAAAAGACATTTATAAAAGTATATCAACATCTTATTTTTCTCGTCCTATTTAATCGATTCCTTGGAAGACTAAATTAAAATGTCACCTATACAGTTAAATATTATAGATTTGTGGTAATGTATGAAGATACTAATGTTTAATCTGAATTTTTGATTTGTAGTGAATACTTCCGCACTGGTTGAAACATTTCCTCATCATCAAATAATCCGGTATAAGTTTAACAATTTACTGCAATTAGTGGGTTGACTTTATAAATATACAGTAATTATATTGGTGAGATAGGAAGGGAATAGGGGTAAAATATTGTTGGACTATTGGTGTTCCTATCCTTTGTACCTTTTGAATGTTTTTTGCACACAGCACTTTGTAATGAAGATGGTAGACGTGTTGTTTGAAAGGAACACTTTATGTGGCATTTTGCTAGGCCATTATATAAATATCTTATTTTGTTTTGTTTTTTAAAGTTCCAATTGTACCTGTGTTAAAATGGGGCTGAGGTTAAGGAACTTACTTGCCTGATTTCATTAGCAAGTGGTGGAAATGTCACTAAAATGTATGCCTTTTAACATCAAAGCCAGCACTCTTTCATTATATTACATTGCATCTCTGGCAGCTTTCACTATTAAAAATTTTTAATGATGTAAAAATAAGTGAACATTTCTTGAATTATTTGTTCCTCTGAGGACAAAGAAATGAAAAAAAAAAGTGCTTTAGAGGATAACTTCAGGCCACCTTCTGCTCTATGTATTCAGCTTACATGGCTCTACCAGTAAAGTGAAGTGGCTATTACAAGTTATTTTTCTCCATATTGATAGCCAATTTTAGCAACATCATTTATCAAATATTATTCTCTTCACTGTTTTCTTACCACTGCTTCTTATATAAAGATTTACCTAACCTATTTCAGTTTCCTCACCTGTAGAAGTAAGATTTATTAACAGTATTTATAGCATAGGGATAATGAGGGTAAACTTAAAATGAATTGTTTAATACATGTGACTATTTATGTAAATCGTCTGTTCTTTACCATGATACTTAACTGGTTTTCTTTAAATCCAATTCCAGCCCTGGCTGGTGTAGCTCAGTGGATTGAGCTCAGGCTGCAAACTAAGAGGGTCGTTGGTTCAGTTCCCAGTCAGGGCACATGCCTGGGTTGCAGGCCAGGTCCCCAGTGGGGGCCATGTGAGAGGCAACCAACCACACATTGATATTTCTTTCTCCCTCCCTTCCCCTTCCTAAAAATAAATATAATCTTTAAACAATAAATAAATCCAGTTCTAAGCTATTGTTTGAACATAGCTATATCATGACTTTAAATTTGATTAAAATGTCATTGCCATTAGACATTTTACTTTTCTGATTTATTACAATGTGTTCAGGAACCCCAAGGTCAAGTTTTAAGTCCCCAAACCTCGACTTTGGCCTAGGACTAATATCAGCCTATGTAGTCTATAGAAAGGGATTTGTCAGCTTTCTTCTCTTTCAAGTTTTCATTACTCACTGTATTCTGAAAACTATTTTCCTCCACAGGAGGCACCAGAATGGTTTACTTGTTGCCTTCAAAGTTAAGATCCTGCCTTTCTTAGTACCCCCAGAAAAAAATCACCCTACTTTTAAACGTTAAACAAAACTTGATAATCACTTTGGCAGAAACACTGGAAACAGTATCAGATAATAGGAAATGGGAATACTTGTATATTTATTAAAGTAGAAGGAAGTATACTAATATATGTCAAGTTTAAAAATCAGGCTATTTAACAATGTATATCATTCCTTTAAAAAAATCCCACATGCTTACATACCGATTCATATGGCATTAAGAATGGTTCTCTCTGGGTAGTGTGGTTACAGGCAGTTTTTACTGGTGTGTGTCTTTATTCAACAAATATGTACTTTTATATTCAGAAAAAATTATGGAAATCATGAAAAAAATCTTTAATTGAAAAAGAAAAAATACTTAAAATATTACTTAACCACCATTTAACACTTATCTTTCAAGTGGGATTTTTTCTTGCTAAACTATATCTTTTCAATAATCATGAAGTACTGGTATAATAAAAAGTTCTTATAAAGATTTGTATACTAATGGGAAGCAAACAGTGTTTATAATATGTAACCTTTTAGATTTTGAAAAGTGAATGCATGTTCTTAACCAAGACTTAGGTGCAACGGTAACTAGTATTTCAAAGTATTGTAGATAAATTGTTTGTAACATGCTAACAAGAAAGCATTGTGCCCTGGCTGGAGTGGCTCAAGTGGATTAAGTGCCAGCCTGTGAACCAAAGGGTCACCAGTTCAATTCCCAGTCAGGGCACAGGCCTGGGCTACAAGCCAGGTCCCCAGTAGGGGGCTTGTGAGAAACAACCACACAATGATGTTTCTCTCCCTCTCTTTCTCCCTCCCTTCCCCTCTGTCTAAAAATAAATAAAATCTTAAAAAAAAAAAAAGTATTGTAATATAGTAGAACTAGGGTGACGTGGGAAAAACTCTTAACTTTACAATTTAACTTTGATTTAAACCCCTAAATTTCAAATCAAAAATAGTAAAGCATAGGTAGGTTTACAATGGAACCAGCAAATAGAATCAAGTCTGGATATACACCAGAAAGCTATAATTTAGTACTTGGCAAAAAACATGTCCTCTCTATTTATATTTTACCTATTCTTTTTATGACATTCCAACTTTTTCCTTGGATTAACATAGACAAGACTCTTTTCCTCCCCTAGTGGGGAATTGTTCTTCTTTGACTACAATTTGGCATTAAAGCCAGGAAATTCATGGTTTTATATAACAAAAATGAGAATATTGCTCAATTTTATGCAAAGTCCTCGTTATGAAAAGATCTTTCCCACTTTCTATTTTATTTTTTAAAGGGATGCAATTTTTAAAAAACATCTTCTTAATTTTATTTATTTTTAGAGGGGAAGGGAAGGAGAGAAGGAGAGAAATACCAATGTATGGTTGCCTCTCTTGTGTCCCCTGCTGGGAACTGGCCTGCAACCCAGGCATGTGCCCTGATGGGGAATCGAACTTCGATCTTTTGGTTCGCAGGACCGTGCTCAATCCACTAAGCTACACCAGCCAGGGCTCTTTACCACTTTTTAAAATAGGAAGTTACACTTATCCTAAGTTCTCTCAGACACAATATATTATGTAATTAATAGGGTTCCTTTTTTGTGTTTCTAGGATGTTCACAAATTTGTGACCCCCCCTTCTCTAGGAAGTATAGCATGTATGCACTTTTCTTTTTCTCTCCTATCATGATTCATCCCATCATCTTTACTTCTGAAAATAAAGAGATAGCATCACAATTCATTTAAAGGGTTTGGGAATTAAACATCATTTTTAACACAACACCTGGACCACGTTAGGGGCTCAACCAACACTTATTTCACAGGACAGGCTCTGGATTGGCAAATAACATAGTTTGATGTACTCTTGCTTGCACAACTGCCTAAAATTCAGTGCATCCCAAATTCCCTTTAAGATCATGAAAATGACCAAAAATAAACAATGAAATTTTAAAACTGGAATGAATAATGAAATTACCTAGAAAAGTGAAGGACAAAAGAAACTATTATAAGCCTTGAGTTAAATTGGTGTCCCATCTGTCTGAACTGATAACGAACCTAGCATAGTTTAGTTTTACTTTTACTTTATCTAGAAATGAGCCATCGAACAAATTCACTTTCTATTTATAAATAACTTAAATGAATAAGCTATTTTATATCTTTTCAATATATGGAACCATTCACAATAAACTTAATTTTTAAAACATTCTAAATAAGACCTTGTATCAGTGTTGTTGAAAGAACCCAGCAATGAAAGTGAGTAGAGCAGAAATTTGATAAAAGACAGCTATCAACAATTAATAACTACAGTTATATCAGTAGTAAAAACATTATATAAATAAAAGCACTTGTCTTCTCTTGTGTGGCTAAAGTAGAGAAATTATGCCACTGCAGTTGTGTTATTGATTATAGCTCATTCTTAATTTGTTTCTAAATCTTGAAAACCTACCCATATTATACAGGAAAATCTCACAGTTCTTCAGTGTAAAAATTTTATTTCTCCTTTGTTCCCCCCCACCCCACATTACAAGATCTGAAATATTACTTAATCCACATCATTTTAAAAAAATGATCTGTTATCAGTCATGTAAAATGTGAGGAAAAAAAAAAAAAACACTAATCCATTTAAAATCTCAGCCCCTGCCCCATTGTTACAGCATATTTAGGATAAGTCTACAGCATTCACTTACTTTAGCTGGTTCTGATACTGAGGCATACTTTTTAATTTGAGAATCAACACCTAAAGACTTGGCTAATTGTAGAGCATTTGAATCATCACTGATCAGTGTTCCAAGAGCCACAAGAAGTCTAAAAATGGCTTCTAGGTCTTGTACAACTTCAAAGACTGTGCTAATTACTGACAAGCATTGAGCTTTCCCTTCAATGTTACTGTCTTTATGAAAACAAACAGAATAGTTCAGGGTCAAGGTAGCCAGAGCAATGTGGATGTTCTTATTGCTCCCTGATTTCAGTTCTATTGCATGGGACATTAGTGATTCCCTTTGGGACATCATGAGTTTTTGTCCTGCCTGGCCAACAAAACAATTGCAAAAAGTCCTCAGAGCAAGCAGCTGGTTTGCTGGCTTTCCTTTAGGGTTCAGAAGACTGATAAGATGACTGCTGAACTGAGTCCCTTCCTTTTCATTGCAGAAGTTCTCATTCACACTGGGATGCTTAATTGACAACCGAAGAATGTCAAGCGCAGGAAAGACGATATCTATTAAGAAGAAAAATTCGTTAATAATTATGGAAATCCAGAATATTCCTATGACTGTTTTTCAATTTTTAAGGATTTTACTTCCTTTTACAAAATTAACACATGCTCATTTCAGAAAATGTTAAAAATCATGTGCCTATTGCCTGGCTTGTGTAGCTCAATGGATTGAGCATGGGCCTGTGAAGCAAAGGGTCGCCAGTTTGATTCCCAGTCAGGACACATGCCTGGGTTGCAGGCCAGGTCCCCAGTAGGGGGACACATTAAAGGCAACCACACATTGATGTTTGTCTCCCACTCTTTCTCCTTCCCTTCCCCTCTCTCTAAAAATAAATAAATACAATATTTTTTTTTAAATCGCATACCTACTTTTAAATGCATATATTTCTAAAACTGTGTTGATTTTTCATAAAGTCTGGACTTGCTGCTACAAGATCATATATGCCTTAATAGTGATGTAACTCTCTTGGGTTATCAGATGAAACACAGTGAATTTTAAATTAATCCTTATGGAATGAATGGGATTGCAACCCTGTTTTTAAAAATTGCATAACAAGACCAAAGAGTTGAGGAGAGAATACTCTTTATAGAAGAGCTGACAAATGCTAATAGGATGCTTATAGATTGTCGGAGAGCTTTATATTCATGGGACTGCATAAACACCATCTGAAAAAATACACTCCCTAAACAAACTTCAGCATCACTAAAAGTAAGGAAACCAGAAATTGTGTCTTGTGATATAAAGGTAGTCTGCAGTATCATTTGTAAAGAATCTTCATCTTAAAAAATATATATATTAATCCAGAATCTAATTATGTATAGCAAGGACTACAGAAATAGAGTAACACATTCAATTAAATTAAGTGACCAGCCAAATCCACAATATGGGACATTTTGTAGGACTAATGATTTTTTTCTCCAATATCTCAACAGCACAGAAAAAAACGGGAGAGGACATTTTTAGAATTAAAAATTAAATGTATAGTAATGAATGGAAACTAGACATTTGGTGGTGAGCGCACTACAGTATATACACATATTGAATTGTGACATTGTACACCTGAACCTTATATAATGTAACAACTGATGTTAATAAGAAATTAAATTTGTAAATTTTTAAAATAAAAAATTAAATGTATTTACTTAAAAAAGAGAAAGAGAAAAATTAAAGCAAAAATTCTTATAGCAAATGTCTGTAGCCTAGGGTTAATAGGTCACAAAGAGTTTCTGGGGTGGCTCGCAGGGTATCCACACATGCTCTGAAGGGAATACAAACTAGTATATGTACTGGGGTCTTCACGTTACCTTCAGATTCTCACAACAGATGGGAACAAATAAGACTATGAATTATAGTGATATAGTGCATCCTTTTTGTGAAGTTTTTTATAATGTGAATTACAACTACTCAGGTTAGCTTTTATTTAATCTAGCCAAACCAATAATATTGACAGACATGAAAAGACATACTTCTTGCTTTCTAGTTGTATTTTAAAGAATTTTTCTGTACCTTCGGGCCACTTAATAGCTTTCCATAAAATCTGAAGTTGCTGGACTGTGGGTTTTTCCGAAGAACTATTACATATTAAAGATAGTATCTTCTCAAGAACTATCAGGTCATCTTCAGTTAACTTCTTCTCTTCAGAGGCAGTTCCATTAAGTTCCTTCAGTTTACCTAAAACCCAAAACCAAATCTTCAAAATTCTCTGTCATCAGCCCAATAAAATACATAAATGTCAACTCTTTCAATAAGTACGCTAGCATACTATGGAGAAGTTAAGACTTCTCAGGGCAATTATTAAAGACCATAATTTAAGGATAAGGTCTGTGAGTATTTTTAAGCTAAAAGGTTATTGTAATGATTTTTATTTTCTAGTATTTTCTGAAGCTTTCTGCTTTGAATACATTTTAAAGTATATCATATTTGTAATAATTTTGAATGGTTTTCAAAGCAGTATCATGCCAAATATTGACACATATAAGTCAATCCCCTATTTTCTCAAGGAGAAAATTCATCTCTTAGCCAGCTTACCCGGTATATTGATTTCTATGATGGTCAGTAAAACATTTGAAGACTTAAATGCTTATTTATAATCATTTATTGACTTAGCTCCATATGTACCTTTGACATCGCATTATTTTAAACATATTCAATGGAAATAATTGCCTTTGCCCATCATATTCATATTTCATGAAACAATTTCTTTTAAACTCTTCACATGCATCTTCAATATAAGCATCCTTGTCATTACTAATATTACTTTGAGTCATCTAACACTGTTTCCTAAAAAATTTTTATCTCAAAACATAAAAAAGCCTGAATTTCCACTACAAAAGTTATTAGGAACATAAATTATCCAAATTTACAAAATTTTATCTGTTATAACTGGATACTTGGACTGCTTCACTGTAATTGGCATTGAAAATTTTTAACACTACCAGCATACAGAAAACAAAAGTTTATTTAAGAAATGCAAAAAGAGACCTTTTGTAAGTATTGTACACGAGTTGAAAAAAGTCTAGGTGTCCATAAGTGTACATATATATACTTCTTTACTGTTCAAAATAAAACAATTAAGAAAACACATGATTTTTTATAAGGATAGTTTGAAGGATAATTTTCACAAAAAACAAAACAAAAAATCCCGGTCTTACCTTCAGTTATGTATGCTATCTCAAATAATTTTCTCACAGTCTTTGGCCAACAGAGCTTGTAGTACTCTTGGTCCAAAAATATCCCCCAAAACTGATCATTTTGTTTTGAGAAAAACAAATTAGCAGAAAAAACACTCAAAGTCAACTGAGAAGTTTCATTTCTAATGGAAAATTTAAACAAGCCTCTCATTATTATTTTAAGGGTTATTAATTTTTTAAAGCTAAGATTTTTATTTTTTAGATGCTATACTCATTCTTAAGCTTAGGGGATGGGATTTACATTTTTCCCCCTTCAGTATTCTTTTCATTAAAGTCATCATAACGCATTTACCTTATATTTACATAAGGATTCTTACAAAGTATTAAGGGTCCATTATTAGATTGTGCATTCATAGTCCACACACTTGTGTAATACCACAACAGAAGTCTCTATCATGGAAGCACCCAGTTCATAGTTCGTTTTAGGAGAATTGGTGTGGAGTGCACAGTAGAGTCTGGATATATGACTTAAGTATTTAAAATATACTTACCTATTATTTGTGTAGGGTTCGCTTGGTCAAAAGTGACAGCCTCTTTTTTAGGGAAATAAATATTCACTGTTTTAGATGCAGCTGATTGGTAGGCACTATTCCCTATTTACAAAGCAGAAGATTTGAAGATCATAAGGAGTGGTCAAAAATGAGACTTTTCTAATTGTATGACTTTATTTTCATGATTAAGATATATAACTACTCAGTGCATGCAATAAGAAGAAAACTCAAAAAAGAAGAAAAATCATATGTAAGATTTTGATATACTCTTTATATTTGATATAATTTTAGTTTTTTAGAATGGGAACTTAAATGTTAAACAAAGCTTTTCTGTTTCATATTTTCTACTTCTATCTTTTATAATTTTAAGATCAAAGAATACAAAACAATTATGAAAATTTCCCATCTACTCTTAATTTCTTTTTTTGTCTTTACTGCTTATTTCAAATGATGTAGTAAGTGTTGTCATTTTCTACATTATTTTTATAAATCACTTCAAGTTTTAGGTTCTTGAAAGAGTTTTAGTCTTCTATATTATGTCAAGTTTATATTATAATAACTGAAACTCAGTATCTGATGATAAAAAAAATGATGATGAAAATTCATTCACAGTGAATAAAACTACTTCACCTATCCCTGGCTGGTATGGCTCAGTGGCTCGAGAAACAGACTGCAAACCGAAGGGTCGCCGGTTTGATTCCCAGTTAAGGCACATGCCTGGGTCACAGGCCAGGTCCCCAGTGATGGATGCACAAGAGGCAACCACACATTAATGTTTCTCTCCCTCTCTTTCTCCTTCCCTTCCCCTCTCTCTAAAAATAAATGTACCCTTAAAAAAATAATAACTACTTCAAGTAAGGGATAATTTTTTCTAATTTATATCCTACTTACATTTCAAGTCTTATTTTGTACATTTTTATTCCAATGAAAAATTAAGGCATTTTGATAAAGATGAATAAAACATTTTAATCTTTTGAGTATATTAAGAAACAAGGAAGAAAGGTAGTTAAAACAAGTAATGAGCTAAACATACAAAATTAATTCTAATTGCTTATATAGTATAAAATATTTACTGATATAGTCAAAGGTGAGTTACACAGACATTGCCAGTACTTCTAATTACCAGATTCTAGCTGTGGTAAGGAGAATGCAAAATAAATATCACCCAAATAAGTATGATATAAAATTCTCTGAAGAAAAGTATAGGGTGTAATGAAAGCTTATGAGAGAGTAGGTGATCTATGTGAATGTCCAGAAAAGTTTCACTGAGTTCATTTAATAAATACTATATCATAAAATTGAATAAAAAAGAAAAAGGAGAAAAAAAATAATCTGTGATTAAGAAACAAAGAATCCTAGTGTTCCCAAACTCCTGAGGTAGAAAAGAGCGTGGTACGCTCACAGAACTGACCCAGGCCAGTGTGGCCAGGCAGAGAAAAGGCAGAGAAGAATGGAATACATGGCACAAGGAAATACTCAAAGGGAAGCCTTAAAAGGGTTTTAAATCAAGGAAAGGGCATAAAGAAATTAGACTTTATAAGACTGTTAACTGCAGTATGATCCATGAAAAATGTGATTTGGAGATTGTTAATGTTCATTGGTGTAGGTGAAAGATAACAACAGCTTGGACTAAGGTAAATATAGTTCCAGTATAAACACCAAACTATTAAAGACTATCGAAGACTTCTGTAAATGGGAGGAAGCAATGTTAACTTCAGACCCTTATAAATACAACACATTCAGCTAACAATTACTAAGCTCTTATTCTGTATAAAGTGATTTACATATATTTAGTAATTTTAAGCTCTATTATCTCAAGTTTATAAATGAGAAAAGCAGAAATGTAGAAACAGAGTGACTTTCTCAAGGTCAACAGAATAAAAAGTAATGGAACTGATATTTGAATCTAAGCATTCCTCACCCCAGAGTCCTTAATCCTAATTACTATGTTCAATACTGCCAGCCAATGGTACTTTTCACGATGAAAAAAAAAATAGCTTACAAAATCACACACCAAGTTAGTTCTTAAGTAGAATTTATGGGTACTTATTTTATTATGCTTAATAACATATGTCATATATATTCTCTTATATATAAAATAAGTACGGGAAAATATATGCCAAGGTATCTGTTAAACTGGCAAGAGATAAACTGCAAACTTTGTGAAGCACTTTACTGGCATAGCAGGAAGCCAGCCTGCATATATTCAACAGTGATGAAGTAAGATGTGGCAGACTCTATGCTAGGTACGAAGGATAAAAAAAAATTAGTTGCTCAGAAGGCCAAATATTCTAGGCCTATATTATAAAAGCAAATTCTTTTCAGAGTCCCTGAAGATAACAACGTAATGAATAACATTTTCAACACATTAAAAATGAATAGAGAGACTGAAATAAACTGATTTCGTAAGGGTACTGAGGAAATAAGGCACATTAGAACAGAAGTACAACAGCAGTTTTTAATCCTGGCCGTGTATCAGAATATACATAGGAAAATTATGAAACTGCCCTTGCCAGGACACCAACCCAGAGCAATATCAGACCAAGTGAGCATCTCTTGAGATAAGGTTGAAGTACCTTGTTAAAACTCCTCAGGTGATTCTCATGCGCAACAATGGCAATGCTGAACATACTCTAAAAACCAAGTCAAGAAATTTGATCTTGATCTACTATATAAAAAGTTCTCCAACAATTAAAATGACACCAATTTTCTTAATCTTTTATAAAATAAACATTGCAATAAACCTTAAAAAATGTAAAAAAAAAAAGGAAAGAAACAAAGAAATGAAAAGTGTTTACCTGTAAATGGATCAGCTCCAGCCACAGAAGTTCCCACACCTGCAGACCCTGGCACATAACGACCTCCACCTAAAATGCAATACTCTGAGTGAGCAAATGTAACTACAAATTGTAAAGTTCAAACTGCCCGTTTACATACAATAATGTATTTTCATTATTAGTCATACTATGAAATGATATCTTTATATATAATAAATGGACTGCAAATTTAATACAGAAAAATGCTTAGAACAGTGACTGGCAGTCAGTTAGTGACCAGTAAGTGTTAACTAGGAAAGTAATCCTCAAGTTATAAAATAAACATTAGATGCCTTACACATTATAGTTCTAGTAGTTAAATGAATTATGAAAGCATTAGTGGATTGGAGAAGGAAATTAAAAGGTTTCCATAATGAAATGTGTAAACTATTCTACTGAAATAGAGAAATAGGGCTATCTAACTACAACAAGGAGAAAAGAGACCAGGTAAGAGTTATGGATGCTGTGACAATAGCTCAGTCTCACATTTTAAATTATACTTGTGGTTGTCTCATTGAAAATTGAAAGAAAGGAATATGAACAACAAGTATAGAGAGAATCAGCAGAATCTGGAGAAGTTTAGAGTCCTAGACTAACCTTTGTAAGAAGAAAGATTTGCTATCATTTTAGCCTCAGAATTTAACATCTAGTAGTTGGTATAACCAGTGTAATAGATAAAGAAAAAGTAAGCAAAACTAAAATACAAAAAAATTATACAGATGTAAATAACAACAGAATTAAAATAATAAAGAACACAAAATAACAGGATCTGAGTTTTTACTATATACCAGCTAGCATGCTAGGCATCTTATAAGCATGCATCATTTAAATATTAATTAGACACCACTATTACTCACAATAGTTATTACAGGAAGGCTGAACAACTTGCTCAAAGCATTATGAAACAGAGTACAGACCCACACTTTTCTAAATATCGTTCTCTGACATTTAGAGAAAGTTACCTGGTCAATATGCAGATTCCCAGGGCCTACCCACACTAGCGTAGTTCTCCAAACTGGCTTCCCTTTACAACCCTATAATGAGCTTTTACACAAACCTAACAGCAAACCACACCCAAGACCATTTAATTTAATCAGAATCCATGGGTGAGGGATCAGGGTAATGGTATTTTTTAATTGTCTCACAAACCTAATATGACCAAATCTGTGGGAAGGACCATGTAATAAGTAATTGAACAAGCATCCTAGATGATTCTAATGAACACTGGAAGTTTGACAACCACATAAAAAAGGAAAACAAAAATGACTTAAGATGGACCTTAAGTTGTAAGCCAGATGGGCAAACCTTTTGGCCCAGTGATATTGGTAAAACTGGGGAAACAACATCAATAATAATAATAATATAGCTAACATATTATTAAGGGCTTAAATATATTCCTCCTAGAATACTTTACAAGTATTATATAATTTAATTTTCATAATATTTCAGTTTGGTAGGTGGTGTATCTATTTTTTATAATAGTTTGTTCTGTTGTCCTTATAATGCTGTAATTCTCTTGGACATTTAGTATGCTACCTTGCGTTATCTCCACGATCCCTGCATCTTCTGAGTTATTGACACTGTGCAACAGTGAGACATGCTCTGGTTATGATGGAGTTCTCTTGATTTTGTTGTTATTGAAGCTTGTTATGTTTCTTCTGTTCCAAAAAAGATCTGCCAATGAGATTCAGGAACTCTGGTGTTCTAAGTTTCATTGCATTACTGTGCCTGAATCTACTGATTGAGAAAGTCATCATCTTATCTACTCTTCAGATCCTATCCTTTCAAATTGCATTTGTCATCACAAGATTTAGCTTTATAGTTATTGTTGTAAGCTCAGTATCAATACATGGGGTACAGCTATTTGCATCTGGTCCACCAATTCATTCACAGGAGAAAGAGTTCATGAGAGCAATTCACAACTTCATGACACTGACTCCAGATTGTTTGTTGGTCCAATCTATGATTTAGAGAGGGCTGTATGTTGGCAAAACCAATGAATACCATAAATGCTATAAATCTCTTCCCAAAACTGATATGTTGTCCAGGAACTCTGGCTGAAGATCCAACAGCATCATAAAATATATCTAAAACTATTTTGAAAACAGACTTCTTCAGCTACATTGAAGTCCAAGTCTGGCCATTTTTTCCAGTATAATTGATGCTGAGGCACGCATACCTTGGTAAACAGTCACTTTGAAGAGACACACCAACACTTTCAGGGCTTCATGAAGTCAATTAACAACTTAGATTAAGAAGACTAATCCTGGGTAGCTGGTGAACTGTCTCCTTCCACACTAAGGCAAATATGCCTTGGGCAGACTTCTTGACTGCACTGCTCCATCCAATATCAAGGACTCACATGGCTCCTTCTCTGCTCATGATTGGTAGCATCTTGCCAGTGATAGCACTCATGCTGTGCCTTGGTTGGTGGGCTCCCCTATTATCTAATTTCACAGATAAAAAAAATAGGCTCAGACAGGTTCAGTAACTTGCCAACTTGTCATAGCAAGTACATGGGATAGCCAAATTTTGAACCAAGGTCTGTCTGGCTCTAAAACCTATGCTCTTATGACTCTCCTGGCAGGAAGGACCACTGGAGAAAATGGCGAGCTATAATAATATGCTATTTAAAAGTCATGAGGAAAGTCACAAAGTACTCTAAGAAAAAGCAAAAATTAGAAGGTAAAAAGAAAAGGAGATCCACCAAAATTGGACATGTAAATAAGGGAAGTATCAATTATTGAGTGGTATCTCCAAAATGATAAGCCATATAGTGTAATATACATTCAGTGTAGATACAATAATCAAAACTGCATCCTACCTGTAAAAGGATCTGCTGCGGGCGGTAGGTTAGAAGATCCTGATGAAGAGCCTGGAACATACCGACCACCACCTGTGCATGCAAACGAAGGGAAGACTGAAGTATGTATGCCACAATTTTGAATTTCATAAGTAATACAATGCTTACATTAGAAGACTGTAAGCTTGGAGGAAAAGAGAAGGGCAAGGCTCTTACATGAGAGAACAACAGAACTTACAGTAAAAAATGTTACAATTGAAAAGACTAGTAAGAAACTGAAATTTCGATGCTTCTCCAAGCTTTGTTTTCTTAACTTTAATACTTTATTATATCTTAGCCCTTGCTTTAAATATTAAGATAACTAGGAATTCAAATATAAAAAGAGAAATTGTGGGTGGTCTCAGGCCTAAATAATATATACATACAATCAATTTCCATTCCTGTACAAATTCACTAGAATTCCTGCTGTTGTTTTTGCTATCAAAACCACAGGCATCAAATGCTATTCTTTTAGAGAACCACTGAGTTCATTAATTCATGTGTCAAACAATGCATTTAGCACTAGGGATCCAGCAGAGAACATGATTGCTTGTATCCACTTAAGCTTACAACCTACTGAAAAAGAGAATTACAAAGGGGATGAGTGCTACAAAGGAAACAGTGTTCTATTTATACCTTTACAAATGTGCTGTGTGTGTGTGAATGCATGTTTTATTAGTATCTCTAGGGAAATAATCACAGACATCTACAAAAAGATATATATATGGATGTTCATAAAGTTAAAGCTTCAGAAAAGCAAAAAAGCCAAATAGCTGTTGTATTTCCAGATTGGACCAGATGTTTTAATATCTGTCCTCAGTCCCATAAAATAGCTTACGCAATATTGCTATCATGTGTTCACTTTTGCACTGCAGACTGAAAGTCCACCAACAGAAATACCCACATAGTAAAAATGTTCCTGGCCCTCCTTTTTTTATAAAGTGCAACTTTTGGGAAGGTTGCATCATTTACAGTTCAGTAGTGAGTCAGTCTCATAATTCTTTTTAAGTCACCATGCAGATGAGATTAGTTTTATTATGTGAATTGGCAATGGAAATATGGAAAGAGGAGATAATTTGGGAGCATGAATTATCTGTCAAGGAAGAAAAAAAGAGGATGTGGGATCCCTCCTTATAAAACTAGAAAGGACAGTAGCAAATCAAAAATGGAGTCAAAACTGACAACAGCAAAACATTAGTAATACAGTACCAATTTCAAAATTTTATTTAGCACTTGTCCTATACCTAAGAAAAGAGTAAGCATTTTGTTTCATCCTGTTCCGTATTTTAGTTCCTGGGGCCCAGAACTCAAGCTTATACTCAGGCTAGAATTATAATCTATTTCCTAGGAGCCAGGGTTTAGACTAATACTACTAAGATTATAATTTATAGACTGGCATGGGAACCAAACCCCATTTATAAAAATTGAAACACTGTATGTTACAAACATAATGACCAGGAGGAATATAAATAACATATAAAATAAAACTACCCACAGTTCAGCCCTAGATGGGATGCACAACTAATCAATTTAGCCTCATGTGAAAACAGAATTTCATCAAAAGATATATTTTTAAAAAGAAGTACTATATAAAGGAACACAGAAGTTTCTTTTTATGTCAAAGTACTACATGAGAATTTCTTAATCTTATTTATTTTACAGTGTGACATTTTTGTAACAGAACAATTTACAAACATTTTTATAAACACAGAATCACTATATAATTTGAGGCTTACAAATATGAACATGAAGGAAAAACCTTTTGTAGATCTTGATTTTTGTTTAAACAGCTAATCATAATAGGCATTTAAACATATCAAACAATGGAAATCAATCAAAACTTGATGAAAGCACATTAAACCTTAATACCAACCCTAACTCACCTGTGAATGGATCTGAAAAACTGGTGTTTGCAAGTCCCAACATTTGACCTTTTGTGTTATCAATAATAAATTTTGCCACTTGATCCAAAAACATGGGGTTCAAATCATTCTTCTGTAAGAAGTTGTATGCAGTTAACCAAGGATCATCACTGATGTTATATGGCAATTTATATGATGGTCCACCTTCATTGACATCAATTGAGAAAACATAATCAAATTCCTTTAATAGGAATATAAAAAGGAGATAATTATTAAATTTTCTGTTCGTGTGTATTAATGACATATAGTCAGATGTTATGTGTTCTCTAATAATTATAGTACTTAAACTTTCTCCAAAGTGCAATGTTAAAATCTTCCACCTGGCATATAATTAATAGCAACCACTTGCATGTGCTAAAAGGTTACTATTTCACTGGGGAGTGGAGGTGGGGAATGAATTACAATTACATTTTAATTCTAAGGCCAAAGGAGAATTTCCAAGTGGTTGATCTCAAGGCTACAATATTAGCTGTTACCATGCCCCATCACCAACATTCTGGCATCATAAGCATTCCTCGCACGGTCCCTCATGTCTTGTCAAGTTAAATATAGGCAGAAAGCATTAGATGAAAGATGATACAGAAGCTCCTAATCCAAAATGGTTGGAAACAAATTATGCTAACTACTAAAAGACAAATAATGCCTAATCTGGCTATGAAATGCAGCTTTTTTGCCCTGGCTGGTATGGCTCAGTGGATTGAATGCCGGCCTGCAAACCAAAAGGTTGCTGGTTTGATTCCTCCCAGTCAGGGCACATGCCTGGGTTGTGGGCCAGGTCCCCACTAGGGGGCACAGGAGAGGCAACCACACATTGATGTTTCTCTTCCTCTTTCCCTCCTTCCCTCCTCTAAAAATAAATAAATAAAATCTTTAAAAAAAAAGATAAAGAAAAGAAATGCAGCATTCCCTACATGGAAAGAGATTCTTGAAAAATCATATTCAAGACAGGGAAAAAGAAGAGGATTTCCCACATAGAAATGTAATTTTAAATGATAAACACCAAAGAAAATTTTATTAGCATGGAGAAAAAGGAAAAAAAAACATTAAATTTATTGAATGCTTTAAGATAAAGGTAATTAGAAAGCAGAAGTTAACATACTTTCCCTTCATATAAAACTTTTCCAGATGTTTGCTGATTAGCACCAGACGAGCCAACAACATCACCAATTTTTATCCACCTCCCTTCACTAATACTCCATTGGTAGGCTTCAACATTCTCTCCATCTCTGATTAGACGAGTCTGTCCTTCTCTAGTACCTGAAAATAAAAATTTTGAGAATCAAAGATTGAACGGCAGAACTCAAAAACATTTAATAGAAAATTGTTTCCCTTAAAATTTATATATAGAAGAGAATCTGTATTTAGGTTTAGTAGAAAATTTTATCAAACAAAAGACTTTAAAATAGAATTTACTGAAAAGTGGAGTAAAAAAACAGTGATTAAATTGAAACTTTATTAAATAAAGGTTAGGAAATGATTCTAGAACATAGCAAGTCCATTAAAATTAAACCAAGCTTTATTACTGAGTATCTTCCTACAACACTTTCATTTCAGTAAATGATTCTCCATTCTTCTAGCTGCTCAGGCCAAAATGTATGGAGGAGTCTGATCCCTCTTTTTTGTAACCCTTCAGTCAATCCTTTAGAAAATTCTATCAGCTCTGTATTTAAAATACATCTAGAAGGACTTCTTTTCACCATCTCCTTCACTACCCATTGGTACAAGCCACCATCATTTCTCAGTTGGAATGATCAATGGCCTCCTATTCCTACCTTGGGCCCCACAGTCTATATTTAACACAGCAATCCCAGAAACTATTTCAGAAGTTTAAGGAGCTCCTGACAAATCTCGACTGAGACCCTTCAATGATCTCCCAACTCACCATCGATTAAAGCTTATGTCAATGGAATAGTGTACAAGGCCAAATATAATCTGTCTGTCCCTACTATCTTCTCTTACCTGATTTTCTTCTACTCCTTCCCTCAGCCCCCCTTCCTACTCCAGCCAAGGAGTTTTTCAACTGGCTAGCTATTTTTTCTGCCTTCAACACTCTTCACACAGGTGCTGGCAAGGTTTGCTCCCTTGGCACCTTAAGGGCTTTACTTGAATGCCACATTCTCAACAAAGCCTTCAGTGGCAAAAATACCATCTGCCCTTCAGAGTCATGATCCCTTCTGTTCCACAGAGTAGAGCTGTGGCTATCTAGTCAGAGATAACATTTTTTAACCCCCTTCCTTGCACCTTGCAGTCCCTAGATGGTACATACTGAGTATACATCCCGTGACATCTGGGTAGGTGTGATATAGACTATTTCAAGGCCTACTCTATCATCCTCTACACTCCTCTATTACCCTGTTTGGTGGATGAAAGTCTACACCCAAGGAATCTTTGACATCACATGTTGAAGATGGTGGTTTCCATCAGCTTGGCTCCCCGAATGACCCCGAGGGGCAAAATTACTCTACAAACATGCTCCAAGATACCCTGCCATCAACAGAACTTTAAATGTGCAATAAGTAAACTTTGTGTGGAGCCACTGAGATTTTAAGATTAATCTGTGTTTATGTGTTGTAACTGCTACTGCCATCCTATTACACGTTCCCTAGCCACCACACGTACAGTGATAAAACAGCCACTACCCTGGCTTTATTTTTCCCTCAGTACTTTTCATTATCTGACATAGTTAAATATTATTTACTTATTTAATTATCTGGCTCCTCATGTAGAACATAAATGTGTGAGAACAGAGATTTTTGTCTGTTTTGTTATCTGCTGTATCCCCAGAGCTTAGAACAATGCTTGGCACATATAAGGCCCTTATTAATGTTTATACATATACACAGTGACAAAAAACTACACTTTGTAAAAAAATTATAAGACTATTAAAACATGATATTAACGCAGAGGTTCTCCAAGTTTTGTTTTCAAAATCTCTTTAGTTATTCAGAAACCCAAGAGCTTTCTTTAATGTGAATTATAACAACTAATTTGTTAGATTTGAAATTGAAAATGACAATGTATTTACTTCACAGAAAACAATAATAGATCCATTATATTTTGAATAAATATTTTAATAAAAATGTTTTATTTTTAGAAATTTAATGAAAAGACTGGCACTGTTTTCTATTTCTGTAAATCAGTTTACTGTCTTTCTCAATAGAAGACAGCTGGATTTACCATACCTGTCTGTGCATTCAATCTGTTGCCATCTGTTGTTTTGGCTGAAATATATATACATTAAAAAATGTTGAAAAAGAAGACTAGTTTCACAGTTTTTTCAGAAAAATGTATTACACAAGTAACAGGTCCTTCAAGGTTATAATTTAGAACCTAAAAACATCAATTAATTTGTCATACACTATTAAGCTAAAATCCATTGTCTATCTTACATATTGAACAGTTTATAACATCATGAACTAGCATTTGGAAAATACTGATTAAATAAGCTATGCAGATCTTCCACATGTTTAAACGTTATTTAATATCAAAAAAGAAATCACACTTGCTAACAGTGCTACTGATAGCATTAGAACAGTCTTGTAAGTAGTGGGAAACTATCAAGCTCCTGGTGGCAGATACCAATTTTCTAAAATTTCAATTCACACTTGAAAGTTTGAATTATCTCTTTGGCAACAAATACTGTCAATTGTTTCCTTAAAGTGACAAGCTCACTATGTTCATTTTTAAAGAATGCCTGTCATATACCCAAGCCTGAATAACTAATTAGTCATTCTGCAAAATAAAAATGCCACTCCATGAAAAAGGGACTAGTTCAGCCTGCAAATTAAATGACTAAGCATATCCTTCAGATATCAGAGTGCTTTGGTTTAAGTATATTGTTTAAGTATACCAAATGTGCATTCTGTCATCCAGAATCCATTTCTTAAAATGTACTAAAGGGATGTAAATGTAGTAAAATAAAATCTTCACACTCCATCAAGGACATTTTTGATGGCATATGGCATTTTTTAAACTACAACTGTGTGTCGGTAAAGAACATGTGCCTGCTGGACAGTGAGATGCCACTGCCTTGATATGGGTACTAGGGAACCAGCAGTTTTACCCACCATTGCTTTTTCTCCACAAGTGCAATCATTAATACAATGTTATTTTACACTAAATAATTAGCAAATCAACCCTTTTCTTACCATTTTAATTCCAAACTTTAGGAATAATTGGTAACAATTTCTACTACTAGATACACTGAAATACTTACCAGGTTCATTCAGATGTTCCCTCCCAGGAAGCTGTTCTGCATTTATGTCCCCTAAATCACCAGTTTTGGAATCAATGGTTGCCTGAGAAAGTTCCTTTTCAAAAGCCTTGATCTCCTCTGCACTTGCTGTCCGATCTGCTGATTCTGTAAACACTCTAATAATACCATCACTATAAGGAAAAACAAACTGATTTGAAGTCATTGCCATTGTGTATTAACATTATCACACCTGAATGATCCAAAGCAAAAATAATCTTTATTTGTGAATATGAAAAACATTACTATGTACTTATTGTTGAGCATAGCACTATGTGTACTTAAGCACACACTGCCCTCTATTATTTGCTAAAACAATGTATAGGGTAGAAAAAAACTAGAGAAAAGTTACTGACAAAGGACAGAGAAATACGTACATTACACAATTTTCAATTCCAAGTTAAATATTTACCATAAAAATCTTGTGATAGAGTGTACATTTTAAAAGTCAGTGTTATATAAGTGTTACGATATAAAGAAGGATAGTGGTCTGGTTTAATTTATTAAGGGCTCAAATACCCAACATAACACTTAAAAAAGAGCCAATGCTCAATATCTGCTTGTTAGGGAACCATGTAATCTGCCTTTAGTATGCCATTAACTAGGAATGTAATCCCAATTAAAGAAAAAACAGCCTCACCTTTGGACTAGGTAGCAACCTCAACCTCTATTCTCAGAAAAATGACTTCATTACCATGATTTCTCAATTCTAAATTTCACAGGGGGAGGCAAGTTAGCAACTTTCAATTCTACTAACCCTACCCAATTCTACAGAAAACTCTGTTTCTTACATAACCTTCCACTAACAGCACTTTCACCCTTTCAATTTATTTACTTCTTCAACTTTAAATATGCTAATGGTGGGAGTGTGTGTGAGGGAGGAAATAAGCCAATAAATCAACTGCGGGCTAGCCACAAGGCAAAACAGCTCCACTTTATTAGATCTCTATCCCAGGGGTCCCCAACCCCAGGCCAAGATCCAGTCAGTGGCCTGTTAGGAACAGGGCTGCACAGCAGGAGGTAAGTGAAGCTTCATCTGTATTTACAGCCTCTCCCCACTAATTGAATTACCACCTGAGCTCCCCGTCCTGTTAGATTGGGGCAGGAGGCAGTAGATTCTCATAAGAACATGAACCCTACTATGAACTATGCATGTGAGGTACGTAGGCCATGTGCTCCTTGTGAGAATCTAATGCCTGGTGATCTGAGGTGGAGCCAAGGAGGTGATGCCAGCATTGGGGCTGCAAATAATTATCATTAGCAGAGAGGTTTGACTGCACAGAGACCATAATAAATCAATTCCTTGCAGACTCATATCAAAACCCCATCAGTGAGTGGCAAGTGACAATTAAGCTGCATCTTGGTGGCAAGATATAAAGCACCCCTACCTACCCCACTTGGTGGAAAAATGGTCTTCTACAAAACTGGTCCCTGGTGCCAAAAAGGTTGCAGGCTGATCTATCCCTTACTGCTTTTTCTTCTTGTCTTCAATGACAGAGTAGTCTATAATCCTTCATCCATTGTTGCCTCTTACTTACCTTCTTCTATCATTTTCTACCAAAATATGATGTGCAACTCACTAATAACATCTTTTAGACCAAATCCAAAAGCTTTTCCAACTTTCCATCCTTAGTTCCTCATGTACTTATTGACAATGATCACAATCGCCTGCCAAAATCTCTCTTTTACCACCTCTCAATTTCAACATCTGGATTTCTTTTTCTTCTTAAGCTCCGGGCTTTTCTCTAGCCACAGTATGTCACAAAATTCAGTCTTTGGTCTTCTGTTCCTCCCCCACTATGCTTCTTTCCTCAAAGGAAAGTGGTCTACCACTTAACTTTATCTCCAGTCTCAATTGTTAGGCTCCAGTCCAACTGCCCACGATGCACTACCATAAGCGTGGCTGACCACTTGTATTCACAAAATCTAAAACCAAAGGCATTACCTTCTACACCAAACTAATTCTCCTACACACCCATTTTTATTAATGAAGACTTCCAGTCACCAAAAATTTGATGCTTTATCCTTTTAATTTTCCTTAGCACTGTTTTGTTTTTAGTGTCCTATCCAGTAGCATTGTGGGGCCAATATTTCGTAACTTCACACCCTTACACCCTTACAACTGTGATTGCTTTCTGATTGGCTTTCCTTCCCATGGTCACCACCTAACTAAATAAAACCCACATATTTAATAATTCACAGGTTCTGCTTTAATCATATCACTTCTTGCTCAAGAGCTACAACCCTTTAACCTTAAGCACTGAATCTAAATAATGCCTGGCATTGAAGGTTCTCCATAATAAAGCCCACCTTACCTATTATCTACTTTTTCCCAGCATTAGTCCTCTACTATTTTCCATCTTTTCCTAAAACATCACTTTCATTTCCATGCCACATTTTTACTTCTTTATTTTGATAAAAATTCTCATTTCCCTCCTTACTATCTTTCAAAATCCCATCCAAATTTCTTCTCCAGAATGTCTGCCTACATTCTCCAACTTCTTTTGCATACAGTGTTTCAACTGCACAACTTGCAGAAAAATAATGGAATAATATATACTGCATCACTAGTGTAATAACAGCTATTATACCTATTACTATTTTATTCAATAACAGAATTGTTCATATAGTGTCTCCAATTCACATGTAATTCCTTATGGCTTATCTTTGTGCACTCTAATGCCTACCCAAGTCCTATACACATATTATTTATTGATTGACTAGAATATAAATACCTTGCACCAACCACAATGTCACCATTGTCTAGCACACAGCAGCACCATATAGACTGAGCTGGAAGTCGGATTGTTTGAGCACATTCTCCATGTTTCCAGATTCTCAAAGATCTATCTTCTGCTGTTGTCACAAAATCTAAAATTAATGAATTCAGAAAAAATTAGTTTGAATGAATAAAACTAAGTACATGAATACAAACCATCTTCCTAGACAGACTGATCTTTTTTAATCCAAAAAGTATTTTAAAATTATAGTTTTGAATTTTATGTATTTGTCACTTTTATACAACTTTAAAAATCATTTAATTAATTATTTTATTTATTTTTTAAAGAGATGGGAAGGAAGAGAGAAAGAGAGGGAGAGAAACACTGATGAGAGATACATCAATTGACTGCCTCTCCCATACCCCCAACTGGGGACCTGACCCACAACCCAGGCATGTGCCCGGGGAATCGAACTGGTGACCTTTCAGTTCACAGGCCTGCACTCAATCCACTGAGCCACACCAGGCAGGGCTAAAAATCAGGGTTTTATACATTTCACATCTTACATACTATACCTAGATATATTTTCCTGATACCTAAGAACTTTTTACAACAAAACTATCAAATGCAAATTAATATAAAGATGATCATATAATTTCCTCCTTTAGAAAAAAATACTTATGAAATAAAGTTACTAAATTATTCAAGTTACAGTTAGTAAATTGATTTAAGTCATCAGCCCTCATTCCCTCACCTTAAGAATATGAAGAAACAATGGTCAATACAAAATTTTAAAAATGTATGGTATAAAATAATCTTACCTTTAGAATTTGGAAAGACAGATATACTATAAATATAATTTGTATGCCCATAATATACTTCAAGACACTCTCCAGTGATTTGCCACCTTCTAATACTGGCATCATTTGCACAGGAAAGAAATTCTGTTTCACTCAAAATTGCCAAACCTCTTACACAGTCTTCATGCCCTGTATTAAAAAAACACTATAAATCAATAAAATACAACATTTGGTTGATGACTCTATGTAGTTCATCAACATACGGTAAAACACATCAGTGAACAGTAAAACCTGATTTACAAGTTTGAGAAACTCATTTTTTCCATAGAAAAATCGGGTAACCAAAATTTGGTTCTGCAATCTCTTTTTCATCACCAGTCTTAAGAGATTACCATATTTTACCATGGATAATGTGCACTTTTTGACCAAATTTTTGGGGGAAAAATAAAGATGTACATTATATATGGGTAGTACTAATTCTGTACCTATATAAATAAATTCTTTATGTTTATGCATTAAAAGGACTACTCTAGAAAGCAATAAGGATATCCATTTGGAAAATAATACCCTGGAATACAATAACCAGTTTTGTTTCTAAGTATAAATAAATGTAAAATTGAATTTAAAAATTAAAACAAAAATTTTTTTCCTGAAAGTTTGGGCCAAAAACATGGGTGCACATTATATATGGCAAAATACAGTATTTTATATTTATTTTTAAGCATTTTATGTTTTTAGTATATTTTATTTATTATTACAGTTGCCCCATTTATTTTCTCCCCTTTATTCCCCTCCACTCTATATCCCCATCCCACCAACATTCCCCCACCTTAGATCATGTCCACGGGTCATACCTCTAACTTCTTTGGGCTCTCCATTTCCCATACTGTTCTTAACCTCTCCTGTGTATTTTGTACCTACCATTTATACTTCTTAGTCCCTGCACCTTTTCCCCTATTCTCCTCCCACCCCATCTCTGCTGATAACCCTCCATGTGATCTCTATTTCTATGAATCTCTTCCTATTCTAGTTATCTGCTTAGTTTGTCTTTGTTTTTTTTAGGTTCGTTGTTGATTAGTTGTCAGTTTGTTGTCATTTTACTGGTCATATTTTTTATCTTCTTTTTCTTAGGTAAGTGCCTTTAACATTTCCTGTAATAAGTGCTTGGTGATGATGAGCTCCTTGAACTTGACCTTATCTGGGAAGGACTTATCTGCCCTTCCATTCTAAATGATAGCTTTGGTGGATAGAGTAGTCTTAGATGTAGGTCCTTGCCTTTCATGATTTCAAATACTTCTTTCCAGCCCCTTCTTGCCTGCAAGGTTTCTTTTGAGAAATCAGCTAAGAGTTTTATGGGAACTCCTTTGAAGGTAATTGTCTCCTTTCCTCTTGCTGCTTTTAGGCTTCTCTCCTTCTCTTTAATCTTGGCTAATGTAATTAAGAAGTGCCTTGGTGTGTGTTTCCTTGGGTCCAACTTCTTTGGGACTCTGAGCTTCTTGGACTTCCTGGAAGTTTATTTCCTTTGCCACATGAGGGAAGTTCTCCTTCATTATGTTTTCAATTTCTTGCTCTTCCTTGTCTCTCTCTGGAACTTCTATGCTTCGATGTTGGAATATGTAGATTTGTCCTGGAGGTTCCCAAGCCTCTCATTTTCTTGAGTTCTTGTTGAGTTTCTTCTGTTCTGGTTGAATGATTATTTCTTACTTTTCTTTCAAATCATTGATTTGAGTCCCAGTTTCCTTCCCTTCACTATTGGTTCCCCATATATTTTCCTTTATTTCACTTTTCATTGCCTTCACTTTTTCCTCGTATTTTGCAACCATAATGAACCATTTCTGTGAGCATCCTGATTACCAGTATTTTGAACTGTGCATCTGATAGGTTGGCTATCTCTTCATCTCTTAGTTGTATTTGTTCTGGAGCTGTGATCTGCTCTTTCATTTGGGCCATTTTTTTTTTTTGGTCTCTGCACACCTGTTACATTGTAAGGGGCGGAGCCTTAGGTACCCCCCCACCCAGGCGGGGCAACCCATGTGGCTACATTATGGCACTGTACATGAGGGAGGGGTCTGAGAGGGAACCATGTCACTTGCTCAGCTTTTGGCGACTCCCAGTCACTCCCCCTACTACCCACAAGCAAACTGGGCCCCTTTGGTGCTGCTTCCAGCTGAGTGGGTTTGTGTATGTTCTAGGATGCCATGGGTCTGTCCAATGAACTCTCCTGTGAGGCTGGAAGTTTATTCTGCTATCTCAACCCTACAGGTTTTTTCAGTCAGGTTTTGAGGCTTTATTTCTCTGTGCTGAGACCATGGGTTGTGCAGCCTATCTCGCTCCCCAGGTGTTCCTTCTGGTTTATCCACACAGAAATGTGGGACCAACTTCCGCCAAGATGGAGGCATAGGTGGAGACGCTGTGCTTCCTCACATAACCAAGTTTAGAGACAACTAAATAACAGGAATAGAAAACACAGCCAGAACACAGATAATTGAACTTTTCAGAAGTCTGATAACAACAAATTCTTCAGCCTGACCAGTAAGGGGTGAAGCCAGCAGCTGGTGGAGTGGGGTTGCACAGGAAAACTCCGTCAGACGGACTCAGACGGACTCAGGTGCGTGGAATCCAGGAGCAGGGTTGGACCTGGTGGGCAACTCAGCAAGCAATCGCGGGGAAACAGCGAGGGAGCGGGGCTGCAGGTTGACTGTGGTCGCACATTCATGTGTGCATAGACAAGCGAGGGAGTGGGCAATTGGATGACAGCCAGCAGCCCCAGCGGCAAGCTGCTTTGGAGGGCGCCGCCATTTCTTCGCTCTAACCCTGCCTCCACATACAGCGTCATAATCCAGTGACCTAAGTGGCCCTGCCCCAGTGAACAACCTAAGGCTCTGCTCTTCACCCAGCTGCCAGAAACCGCAGAGGGGGCCGCCATTTCCCTGCTCTGACCCCGTCTCCACATACAGAGTTACAACCTAGCAACCTGGGAGTCCAAGGCTCTGCTCCTCAGACTTAACGGGCGCAAACAGACCAAAAATGGCTCAAGAAGATCTCAAAGCCCCAGAGCCTATAAATCTAAGCGATGAAGAAATAGCAAAACTCTCAGACGCACAGTTTAAAACAATGGTGATCAGGATCCTCACAGAAACTGGTTGATTATAGCCACAAATTAGAGGAACATATGAAGGCAAAAATAACTGAAATGAATGGAATTGCACAGGAAACCAACAGCGATGAAAAGAAAACTGGGACTCAAATCAAGGGAGTGGACCAGAAGAAAGCGAATAATGGCCAAACAGAAAAGAGTCAGGAATCAAGAATTCAAAAAAAAATGAGGAGAGTCTTAGGAACCTCCAGGACATCTTTAAACGCTCCAACATCCGAATTATAGGGGTACCAGAAGGGGGAAAGGCACAGCCACCAGTGGAAAACTTATTTGAACAAATAATAAAGGAGAATTTCCCCAATCTGGCAAAGGAAATAGACTTCCAGGAAATCCAGGAACCTCAGAGAGTCCCAAAGAAGTTGGACCCAAGAAGGAACACACCAAGGCACATCATTACATTAGCCAAGATTAAAATGAAGGAGAGAATCCTACAAGCAGCAAGAGCTAAGGGGACAGTCACCTACAAAGGAGTCCCCATCACACTGTCAGCAGATTTCTCAAAAGAGACCTTACAGGCAAGAAGGGGCTGGAAAGAAGTATTCCAACTCATGAAATCCAAAGACCTACAACCAAGATGGCTCCATCCAGCAAAACTTTCATTTAGAATGGAAGGACAGATAAAGGGCTTCTCAGATAAGACCAAATTCATGGAGTTCATCATCACCAAGCCCTTATTATATGAAATGTTAAAGGGACTTATCTAAGAAAAAGAAGTTAAAAAAACATGAACAGTGAAAGGACAACAAACTCACAGTTATTAACAACCACACCTAAAACAAAAGCAAACCAAAAGGACAGCTAGATCAGGAGTGGAAACATAGAAATGAAGATCTCAAGGAGGGTTAGCAACAGGGGAGTGGGAGGAGGAGAAGGAAGAAGAAGGTACAGAAAATAAGTAGCATAGACAGTAGATAGAAAATAAAGGGGGGGGGCAAGAATAGTATGGGAAATATAGAATCTAAAGAACTTGAGACACATGGTAATAAACTAAAGGGGGATAATGGTGGGGACAGAGGGGTAGGATGGAGGGGAATGAAAAGGGGGAATAGAACAACTGTAACAGTATAATCAATAAAAAAATAAATTAAAAAGAAAAAAGAAAAAAAATGTGGGACCACGCGTTCTGCCTGTTGCCACCTTACCGGCTCTGCCAGCCACTGCCTGCCCTGGTCCTCCAACCACTGCCTTGCTGCAAGTCCTCTCTACCCCTGTTGCCAGCCTCTGCCCCTCTTCCCAGTCGGGGTAAATGTTTCTTCGTTAACTCCTTGGTTGTCGAACTTTCATACAGGTCGATCTTCTGGCACTTCTAGTTATTTTTGTTTTTAAATTTGTTGTCCTTCTTTTGCTTGTGTAGAAGGCAAAGTGTATCTACCTATGCCTCCATCTTGGCCAGAAAGCCTGCAATTTTTTTCTGAAAACACTACAGAAACATAACTTTGATCCCCACTATTCTCCTTTTTTAACCTGACAATTCAAATTTTCTTATCCAATAGTAAAAATAATTCATAACATATACAATATTCAAATATAACTGAAATACATAACAAGAAATAAATACCCCTTAAGTTTTTTACCACACAATACTAAAATACGTACAAAACACCAGAAAAAAATTAAGAAAAACTAAGATTATAAAAGACTGCAATAATTTAAGTTTGAAATATTAAATGCATCAGAGAAAATTTTATTAAAATATGCAAGACTAGGCTGAGAGAGATTAATTTTTCTACAACTATCTAATCATAGGCAATGCTAAAACAAGAATTCAAGTTTCCTGACTAATTATTCTACTTCTTGATTCCACCACAATGCGAATAAAGCCAAACATTGCTGATTTATTTTGGGGAATATTTTATAACTTATATAAATGTAAGCACTAAAAAGATAAACTAAAAACCAATGATTACGGAGTTTTTAAAACAGCAAGAATTTATGCAATAAACTTCTTACATAATGTTCTTAATTATGTAACAAGATACAGTTGACAAAATTCAATTTATTTCAATATGACTTGAAGCCTTGTAGAAAATGTCACTATGATTTTTTAAGAAGAAAACATTCTTTGAAGCTTCTAATCATATAACAAAAATCAGAAGTCAAAACCTTTCCCACACTCAATATTTGCTAAGTTGATTGTCTAGACAATCAGTTGTCTAATAACAACTAGATACATATATGTATATATGGAAGCAAAAACAGAGATGTTTATTAGAACTCATTGTCCATTTTCCATCTATAGATAGTTTTATCTTCACACAGGGACTTCTCACAGTGTTGATCCTCCATGGTGGTAATCAACTTTACCACCATGGAGAATAAAAAGTAAATAAAAGAAAAAAAAACAACAAAAAATTCACACCAGTGTAGGAGTTATTTAATAGCTGAGATGTAAAAAGGGTACCCACCTATACTCTGGTTTCTCTTCAGATTGTTTAAATCTCTTGCCTTTTACTAAAAAGACTACCCACCTAAACCACCAAATAAATAGAACCTGAAATGCATTATTACACAATATACTTCAATATTAATGAAAGCACTTATGTTTTCCTCAATATATGAAGGTAACACTGCTGAGCCATCAAGGTTCAGACTGAACATGTTCAAAGGACAAGCAAAAATGTAACTGCACACCACAAGCTGCACATACATAGTTCATAGAATCACAATCAGTAATTATAGGCCATGAGGCACCTATTTATCAATGCAACCTGGATTCTAATGAGAGGTTTCAAAATATCTTTTAAAAAGACTCATGGGTGACATTTTTCAAATACCACTTTCAATCTTCTAAACCTTTGAGAAAAAGTCCATTTGAATAAATCTGAAGCAGTAAGATGATCAGAGGTGTGTATACTCTGATATTACCTGAAAAAGTCCTCTCACATCTTCCAGCTTTCCACAGTTTAATAGTTTTGTCCGCAGATCCAGTTAACATTAAGCCCTGTTCAGGTAAGATCTTTACTGCCCATACTGCGGCTGTATGACCCTGCAAATAAAATGGATATTAATTTAAGTTGCCACAAGTCATCATATTTAATTATCTAGAATATTCACAAAGAACTGCTGTACCTGTAAAGTCATCATGCATTTGTCATTCAGCCACACTTTAGCAGTAGTGTCCCATGAGCCACTAAGTAATGTCCCAAATTTTCCAGACGAAAGACTACATACTAAAGGAAAAAAAGGCATTAGTGAACATATTTTCATACAGAAAAATGTTCGATCTTGTTAGTTATTAAAGCATTGCAATTTTAAAAACATCTGACTCAATGGAGATGCAGTAGTGGTTATGACTCTGTTGTAAGACTGCCTGGTTGCAAGTACTAGAGGTGCCACTCACGGGCAGTCTGACCGCAAGGATATTACTTAACCTGAGATTCCTCATCTGCAGAATGAGGGAACAGGATTACGTGGCTTGCACAATCCCTTCCAGTTCTAAGAAACTACATAGGAAGACAATGTAAAGTATTTTAATACAATTTTAAAAATTGATTTTAGAGAGAGGGGGAGAGAGAGAGAAATGGATAAACTGACATTGATTTATTATCCATTTATTTATGCATTCATTGGTTGCTTCTTATATGTGTCTTGACAGGGGACATAACCCACAATCTTGGCATAGTGGGACAATGCTCTAAATGACTCAGCTACCTGGCCAGTGCTAAATGATTTTGAAATGCTATTCATAATTTGTCACTTTAGTTGAAATGACAAAAAAAAAAGCCAAGCTAAATATTCACTTAGTAATGAAATGGTTAAATGTTTTATTAATGTAAAATTATATAGGATAAAAAAAAGAGCCAAGCTAAATATTCATTAGTAGTGGAATGGTTAAATGTTTCATTAATGTAAAATTATATAGGATAAAAATTACAAATGAAAAATTATCTAAAAATATGAAAATGTAAGCCCCCCCAAATTCTCATTAAAAATGGCAGATTATTTAGAGTAATGCTATAAATTGTATTGATCTACAAAGGACAAAGGCCACTGAAAATACAATAACTGACTTAGCAAAATCGAGGAAGGTTATAATTTAAATACCCAGAGAGAAGAATTCAAAAGCACAGTGACTGGACCCACAACTGTGAGACTCAGTATGCAGCCTCTTGGTTTCATGAAGGATGGGGCTAAGCACAGGTCCTTGAAAAAATAAGAGTGATTCACAGTCTGCATACAACACAGTCAAACAATAGATTTCTCTTTTCAGCCTACAGTGTCAGGAAAATGCATCCTCACTCACTGTAGGAGATAGAGATTTATTCTCTGGTCACAAGAGCCAATTTAAGAGGATTACAATGGCCTGATAGGAGGCAATTTGAGAATCAAAAAGAAAAAAAAAAGATATTAAGAAACCAACTAATTTTTAAACTCAATAAAAGATGTGGGCGAGGGGGCAAGGAAACACTTCCATGGTAATCAAAGAGTTGATGTGGGAAAGTTTTATATAGAAAAATGCTAGCTCTTAAATGCAGAAATAATGGTAGAATCAGAGTACAATCATTTTGAAAATATTAATGAAATACTGGATCTATGCAATGATCATCAATAGATGCTAAAAATCATTAAATAAGACTGATGGGAATGTTATAACAAATGAGTGTACAACACTTGAACCCACTGATCAATCTGAACATCACAAAAAAGGTATCACATGCCTCTTAATGTGTTACACAAAAGTACACAATCCTACCTATAAAGTATTCATGTTAAAAACTTGAATCTGAATTTGGACAAACTTTTAGATCTAACTAATAGCTTATGAGACATATAGGGTACTGAAGAACATGTTACAGGGAACGAAAAGGCTCTAATCAGCAAAGTTCAGATTGTGGGAAATTCTGCAAGTAAAATAAGCTGATTTTAAAAGGAGGGGGGTAAAAAACTGACATGTTGAAAGATATGTGGACCTTGTTTGGGTCATTAAACTAGAAAAAACATTTATGAAATAACTAGGTAAATGTGAACATTCACTGGATATGTGATAATAAGAAATGAGGTTGTGTTTTGTTTCAGGTGTGATATTGATATTATAAAAAAAGAAAGATGGTCCTGGCTGGTGTAGCTCAGTGGATTAAGCACAGGTCTGCGAACCAGAGAATCGCAGTTCGATTCTCAGTCAGGGCACATGCCTGGGTTGCAGGCTGGTTCCCTGCAGGCCAGTTCCCAGCAGGGGATGCATGAAAGGTAACCATACATTGATGTTTCTCTCCTTCTCTCCTTCCCCTCTAAAGATAAATAAATAAAATCTTAAAAAAAAATTAAAAAAGAAAGAGAGAATCCTTATCTTTTCGAGCAATGGCCCGCAGGCCACTTGTACTATATAGCGCACAAACTAAGAATGGGTTTCACATTTGAAAGTGATTAGGAAAAAATAAACAAAATAGACTTCCTGATGAAAATTATGTAACTTCCAAATTTCAGTGTCCATAAATAAAGATTTACCAAAACACAGAGAAGCCCATTCATTTTTTTTGTCAATGGCTGCTTTTGAACATAATGGCAGAGTTGAGTCCTTGTAAAAGCAAGCATATGGCCAGCAAAGCCTAAAATGTTTACTATCTGGCTGTTTTCAGAAAAAGTTTGCCAAATCCTATTTTACAGCTGCCTACTGAAGTATTTACAAATGCAACCGTATACCAAAAACTGCCTTTAAAATAATGTTGTGGAAGAGGGGAAAGATGAAACAAGATAGAGCTTATGCGGATAATCCTTGAAGCAATGTAAAATACATGGGTGGAACAGATCATTATTCCCTACTAGATATGGGTATATATAACTCAATATAAATTGCCATCTCTACTTCTGTATGTATTGAAGATTTCTGTAATAAAGTTTAAAAAATCTGTATTATTCTGTATCAAAGATTTCACATACATACAAAGCATTTTCCAAACTCCTCGAGGAAATTCAGTTTTAAGTGTTTATGGGCCATACTATTTGCTTACATATGTCCTAAAGTATTCCAGATACATTAAAAAATAAGGACATATACTGCACTGAGTTATACAGAGTATGCTTAACATTTTATAACAAAGAGCTGCTAAGCCATACACAAATCCAGGAATATCAGGAGAATCAGAAACAGTTTACAGAAATCAGAGAGAAAGAATATTCAACAGTGTTCCTCCTTAAAAATAATACCAGCACTCTAAACACATTCAATTTCCTTATAAATACAGACATAACAGTCAAAACATAAAGAGATACTCTTAGTTTTCCCAAGTAGTTGAAAAACTAAAATCACAAAGTATATCTAAATTATATGGACTCTTCTCCTTTTATAACTGATCACTTTACTTTTTAAATAAACAGGGGTGGGCAAAATTAGGTTTACAGTTGTGAGTATGGGAATGCAGAGTTCATTCAGGTATTATTATTAATTATTATACTGTTTGTATTACAACTGTAAAACTACTTTTGCACATACCTGTATAAGCATGAAAAACTTTACTGGGCATAAAAATAAATCTGTAACAGTTTATAGGAGAATGCTCACCAAAAAAGATTTTTACTATCAAGCCGATTAGCTATAGGTAAACAAACATAATATAAACCAGGAAAATGTATATGTAAATTTTACTTTCAAAAGGATGAGTTTTCTTCAAATAGAAAAACACTAAAGCGCTATACTCACCAGTATTTTTGTGACCTTTTAGTATATAAAGTGGTGCTGGGCTCTCCAGTGAGAAAATACAAATATTGTGGTCATTTCCTCCAGTGGCAATTAGTCCATGGGGGTATATGTCACTTGAAGGTATGATGCACACACAAGATACAAAATTGGAGTGTCCACTCATACAGTGCATTTCTGTAAAGCCCCTGTTAGGACTGGAAAGACATAATAAATAAGACATAATTGGTTCCTTAACTTAGCCTGGGACATAGTGTCAAAGTACTCATTTTCATTTAGTGCCATGGTTTAACTTTATTGTACAGTACACACTATATCAAGTATCTATTAAAATATTAAATACCTAATTTGTATCAGTTACTACAAAGGTTTACATCAGATTAGGAAAAGTTTAATTAGGTTTTCACTGATAGTACTATGTTAATTAATAAGAACAGGAAGAAAAGGGAGGGAAACAAATATCTTAAGTGCTTTTCCTCATCTTCCATCTTCATTTCTACTTCTCAAAAACTGTTACCCTAAGAAATCCCAGGTGAAGTGAAACATTCATGCAATTAGGATAACGGAATCCACTATCCATAAGCCTTAAACATGGACAGTGAGGACATTTTCACACTATGAAACATTAACCTCGTACCCATATAGTGTATCTACACAGAATATCATTCATTCTCAATATGGCAACTAAAGGAACTAATACAGCAAGGAATAAATGATTGCTCCAGGGACACAGCACATCAACTCCCTACAGATTAGAATGATTACCAATTTGTTATACATATCAGTCACTTAGTATCACTCCTTTACATAACAAATTGAACAACAGATTATGATCTACTATGTGGAAGGCAGTTAGTTGCTGAGAGGGATATAAATAATTATATACCTGATTCAAGCAAATAAGAGTTTGCAGTCTAGTTGAAAGAGATAAGACAAGTACACATAAAGACATTAAGACTCCTGGATAAAGACTAAACACACTCATCTATTTTCACTCCCCAAACCACTAAAACCATATACAAGGTCTGTCCAGAAGGTATCCAGCCATATAATATGAAAAACAGAAAAATTTATTGAAGAAGATACAAGATATAAGAAATACTGTATACAGCAAAATGATGACTCAGTGCCCTTCAAACTTTGGGACCTCACACAGTTCTCCCAATCGCCATCAGTTGCCCTGACGTATTTTCCTGAATCTTATCAATGGTCTGAAATCTTTTCCCTTTCAAAGGTGATTTTAGTTTAGGGAAAAGCCAAAAGTCACAGGGCGCCAAATCTGGGCTGCGGTGAAGCTGAATCACCTGGGAGATTTGATGATTTGCCAAAAAACTGTGTAAGAGTGATGCATGAGCGGATGGATGTATTGTTGTGATGAAGCTGCCAATCACCAGTTAACCATAGCTGTGGCCTTCTTAATCATTCAAGTAGTTTCTGCTGAGGAATGTTCAAACTTAACACAAAATCTGATGTAGATTCGTTGCTCTACTCACTCAGTCATTTTCAATGTGATGGCCACACAGTGTATATGCTCTCTCAGCAGCATCTACTGCCCCCACTGAATAGTATAGGGAAGTGGTCATTGTTCACACATGAGCATTCCAGGCCTCTCTCCTTGGCTGCTAAGTTATATAGATACAGTGAAAAACCATCCTCATGATATTAACAATGACTGGACTTTTTCCAAACAGACCTAGTATGTGTGTTATGTGTGCATATGTATACACACACACATTCATGGAGGCAAGTAGTGCTGTTAATTCTTGAGACTTTTGGAGATTCACTGGTAAATTGGTTCTCTACTTTCCCTGCTATCTGCTTAGAACTCATTTTTCTCATTTGTCCCAAGATCTTCACTAGTGTTCTATGAACTTCAGTACTGAAAGCTATAACCTTGTTCTTTTTTCTTTGTTCCTAGCCTATGGGTTTATGCCTTTCTTAGAAAAAAAATATACACATATAGATATATGTGTGTGTGTATATATCTATGTAGGCAGCAGGGGAAATAGAGAACCAATCTACCAATGAATCCCTAAAGCTCAAGAATTAGTGGCACTACATATGTACCTCTAAAAATGAGAACCAAAAAAGGCAGGAACTAAAATCAATAAGGAGGACTATATGAAAGTCTTTGGAATCAGTCAGAAGTTAAATCATATGAAAAAAAATCTTCGAAGAAAGGTATTTGGTAGTAGCTATCTTTTAACTTGTCCACTTTATTTTGGTAGGTTTTTAAAAATGTGTTTTTAGAAACCATTTTACCAATAAGCCCAAAGAAATTTAAAAAGTAGCACATGACTAAAAATCCATATTATATAAACCACTAAATCTACCTATGTGTGTCCCTTAGCATCTCCCAATATAGATAGATGTTTGTGTGCATCTTTTGTATTATCTGTGAAGTTCTTAATGGCAGAATCCAGACCTGCTTCTTCTTTTTATCTTCTCAAATTCCCAATACAATATTCTACTTGAGAAGGATTAAGTATTTCTTGAGTCAATCAAAAGTACTTAAAATATTAAGGGAAAAAAAGCAGCTGGACTCCTCAGCGAGACAACTGCCTCTCTTGGACCCAGCAAAAGTCTAGAACTTTTTCATCACTAAAGTCTTTGTGGGGACCAGAGAATGGGTGAGTCCCTGGGTATGAGAAACATGTACATTTATAATAGAAGCCAACACCACCAAAGACAAAACCCTGGAGACCAGGCAGTCATCCTCTAGGCAGACCAGCCCAATGAAATGGTCTAGCCAGGTAATGCAGATAATCCTACAGTGAAGCACACAAACAGCAAGTCCCACCCATGAGCAGTGAGTGAGTCCTTCCCAGGAGCCTTTTAGTTCTCTACACTCAACACTGACCACAAAATAAGGACTATCAGATGTCCGAGGAAAGCCTCTTTCGGCAAGAAATAGAGTGACCAAAACAAAGGCAGGGGGGAAAGAAACCAATCTGGAGGAAACATACCACTAGGGAGAAAATAACTTAAAAATAGAAAATTGTATTTCAGCCATGAAATAAGAACATAATTTCACAAAAAAAATCAAGGCAATTTCTGAGGCAATACAGAAAAAAAAAGAGAGAGAGAGAGAAATAAAAAAGATATTTAGAAACAAGTTCAATAACTGAATAAAAAGTTCCAGAAAAAAAGGACAGAGAAAATGAAGAGGATGAGACAAAAGAATTAATATGAGAAAATGCCCCAGAACTTATGGATGTGAGTTTTCATATTAAAAGGGTCCACTAATGGTCCTGAACAATGGATGAATATTGACTGCTTTTTATACAGAAAAAAAAAACAACAGGTCAAGAATAAGAATGGCTTCAGTATTCTCAACTGTAACACTGGAGGCTAGAATACAATGGGGCAATGGCTTCAAAATTCTGGAGGAATATTATTTGAAAATTAGAATGCTACAAACATACAAACGTTTAAATTATTCAAGCAGCAAGGCAGTATAAAATCCTTTTCAGACTATTAAGGTCTTGATACATTACTATCAATGCTTCCTGTACTTCAGGAAACTCCTGGAGGCTGTGCTCCAATATGGTATCAAGGGGAAAAAAACAAGAAAGAGAATGTAAAAGGAAAGTGAGAACAGAAATCCAACACAAGAGGCTAAAAGGGAATTGAGGAAATGACAATAAAGGGAGATCTCCCAGATTAGTTGTGAACCAGAGGCAGACAGACCAGGTCCCAAAGTTTTCACTAAAAGAAAAAGGAAACTCTAAAATATCCAATACGTCCAAGACAACTAGCAATGAATTTAAAGTTGAATTAGTGATAAATATATAGAATTTAAGCAGATATAAAAAAGAAAATTAAGCAAATGAAAACCAAAAACAAGGAAATCAGTAGCTACAGGGAGATCATAAAATTGTTGAGGAAAAGTTATCACAGTTTACTTCACAGCTTATGTGCAGACAGACTCAGGAGAACCATGAAATACTGATTCAGTTTAAATTCATTTAAAGGTATAGAAAGAGTACATATGTGATGGAGGCTGGTAGAGGGCGGAGAGCTACATTTTCATATTCCACAATAAAAACTAAATAAAAAAACTAAAGTAAAATATACATTAAAAAAAGAAATAACAATACAGTCATGAGCTGTATAGCATTTCAGTCAACAACAGACCACATATATGATGGTGGTCCCATATATTAAGATTACAACAGAGCTGAAAAATTCCTGTCAGCTAGTGATCTCATAGCCATGGTAAGCTCTCAATGTAATGCATTACATATTTGTGGTGATACTGATGTAAATAAACCTATTATGCTGCCAGTTGTCTAAAAATACAGCACATATATTGCACTGGCTGGTGTAGCTCAGTGGGTTGAGTGTGGGCTGCAAACCAAAGGGTTGCTGGTTCAATTCCCAGTCACGGCATGTGCCCGGGTTGTCAGCCAGGTCCCCAGTGGGGGCCACATGAAAGGCAACCACACACTGATGTTTCCTTCTCTGTCTTTTTCCCTCCCTCCCCCTCTCCCTAAAAATAAAATCTTTGAAAAAACAAAATACAGCACATATAATTATATACTCAATAATCATAATAAAAGACAATGTAACTGATTTATGTATTTATTATACTATGCTTTTTATGGTTATTTTAGAGTGTACTCTTTCTGCTTAGAAACATAAGTCTGCTGTAAAACAGTGTGCTATGTTCTACCACAGGAGCTTCCTAAATCTCCTGTTGACTGTGCCTCTGAACTGTATCATTTTCCCTTGTGCTTAATTTACTCCGGTGGTATTTTGTACATTAACATGTTGTACAGATTTGTATCTTAGGAGCAATAGTCTATATCATATAGCCTACGTGTGTAGTGAGCTATATATATCACTTAGGTGAACTCAGGTAAGTGAACTCTGAGGTTCACACAACAAAACAGCCTACCGCACATTTCTTGGAATGTATCCACCTAGTTAAGCAGGACATGACTGTACAGCATTTTATACAGAGAGACCGGGAAGTCAAATAAAAAATAAGCAGTTAAGAGATGAAAATTTGCCTCCAAGAAAGAGAAACGGGGAGTGGGAAGGGACTGGCTCTGATTTCTTAACAAACCCCATAGAACTACTTGACTAAGTGCCCAAAGTGCTAAGTGTTTGATACCTCGGCACAGAGAAGATTTAATGCATGATATAAAATCTGGGGTTGCATCTTTGTAATATGTGTTGTTTTCAAAAGGCAAAGCAATAACTGGTAATAGACTTGAGAAATCCAATTTAATTTGAAGTGGTCTTACAGAGGCCTGAAGCAGTCTCAAAGAATGGCATGTTCACTGGTTCAGTTTAATAATGTACAACCAAAAAAAAAAAAAGAACATGTCCTTCTGAAGGAACTTCAAAAAACCCAGAGACTTTCTCAGTGGGATTTTGTGAAAGATGAGGTATCTAGTTTGGTCTACCCTAGAACTATTTTGCCTCCCTAAAACTGAACTTCCCCATCATTTCCAGGCCTTCTCTACACCAGCTACCCTGATCCAGAACCACCAGAAAGCAATTTTCATTTACTACTTAGCTCTGAACATTTTATAGCACTTCATTAACTGTATTAATATACAAAGGATATCAGTCTTGAGGACATATTTTAATATTAAAAGTATGGTTGAGTCACTCTGGTTTCAAATGCATCAGAGGTTCATCATCCAGTGACTATGAGATGTTCTACCCTAAGCAACTGGAAAGGAGAGGTAAAACTATCTTGCCTCTCCAATCACCCACCATCTAGCCCTGTGACTAGCACAATGCAGGCTTTCAATCACTGTTAGGTGAATACATAAATGAATTTTGAAAAAGACAAGAGTTAAATGAAAAGAACCAGTTTTCAAGTAAAGGATCATTTCAGCCCAAAGTTCGTCAAGTCCTTAGTAAATGCAACCACTCCAATGATTAAAGTTTTTGTCAACCTAGCACACTCATACACAACTGTGGAAGTGTAATGACAGGATTCAACTATGACAACTGGCATCCCCTTTAGCTACTCCTTACTGCAATGTTTATTGCCTACTGGGCATATAATACACAAAAAGTTATGTGTTACTGTTACTAAGTGGCTTGGAATATCACAGAACATTAGAAGAGACCTTTAGAAGTTATCTCATCCAATTCAAAATGGGAGTTTGTTGTACATACAACACCCCTACCCTAGTCTATCATGTCTTGGCTGCATTCCTCAAAAGCTGCCAACAGCTCTACTTCCACATTTACCCCTTGGCAATCCATTCTCCATCAGTCGCTAGCAGAAAATTCTCATCAAGTAAATCAAATCATGCTGCTCCTTGCTGGAAACACTTTGAAGGCTTCTAACTACTAACTCCCTTACTTAGCCCCCAGAGAACTGGCTCATCTCACAGCTCATTCCCTTTTGCTCATACGGGCTTTCTTCTTCCTCAACCATGGGGGGGGGGGGGCCGTATGTGTGTGTTCCTCTTATGGCCTACAGGACTCTCCCAATTCAACCTTCCTCATTCCTTGCTCCCATGACAAACTCCATCTCAGTGTCAGACTTAAAAAAAGAAAAAAAACCTCCTCAGAGATGCTCCCTTCTCGAATCTCTCTCTCCACTCAACTCTATACCGATATTTGTTTTATTGATAGGACTCGTGCCAAGTGTGTATGTTTCGTTTTTTTGATCCATCTTCCCTCCCAAACTGTAAGCTAGTTCTATAAACATAAAGAACTTAACTGTCCTCTTCTTCTTCTTCAGGATCCCAAATACACAGGAAGTACTCAATCAGTAGTTATCTGAATTTATGGATGGTAACCCAAACTCTGAGTGAAGAAACCTCTACCGATGGAAGGCTAACAAGGTAACTCATCTCAATTTTTCTCTTTCTAAACTGAAATCTGTCTTCCAGGTGGTTAAGTTTCCTGTTGTAATCAGCCAAACCCAGGGATGAACTACTGAATTTGATTTGGACTGGAGTTTAATCTTCTGTTTCTTAATTTGGGGTGGGGGTTAGAAGACAAAGGGACTCGAGTCCTCAAGAAAAAACATCACGTCCCCGCACGTTCATATAACATAAAGAGGTTTCAGCCCCTCCATCTAAAGCCCACCACAGACCCCAGACTAAGAAACTCTGAACTGGACAACATAGGGGAGGTAAAGCAACTTTCTGGAATGCAATTTTTAAGAACTAAGGTTCTCAAACTTTAAGGAAGACTACAGAGCAAACTCTAGGCGGAAAGAGCGAAGTTCTTAGTTCAATTACACGGGAGATGACTTCACATTGCCTCATATAGAAGGTGCACCTGGCATCAATAAATTCTCAATCTAAAAGAAACGTGGCAAATCACAGTCCAAAAACTTAAGCCCCAAAAGGTAGTAAGTTCGGTCAAGGTCACCCACTCTCTAGTGGTCGTTAGAACATGAACGTAGGTCTGTTCGTTCCCCCAATCCGATGCTCTTTCGCCCAAATCGTACTGGTTTCGGACACTGCGCGTCCAGCCATGGGCTCTTAGAATGGGGAGGCAACACAGACCGGAGTGAAGGCCGAAAAGAAAGGGAGAGAGCGGGACTGAGCCGGAAAGGGTTACTATCTTCCCATACGCGGAAGGAAGATTGCAACACCTTCAGGGGGCTGCTGGGCTCGCAGCGCTCACCTGTCCGGGACCCAAAGGCGCGTGGTGCGGTCCCGGGACACGGATACAAAGGCCCCCGGCGGGTAGAAGCAGCACACCAGGCCTCGCACATCCAGCTCGTGGCCCGGGAGCGAGCAGCTCAGCCGGTATCTGGCGGCTCGGCTCGCCATGGCCCTGGTAGGTCCGGCACCCGGAGGCCGGGCACAAACCGAGATCAGTCCGCAGGGGAGGCCAGGTGTGCGACGAAAAGCGGCGGGAGAGGGACCTGCAGGTGAGAGACGGCCGGACACCGGAAGAGCCGGACGGCCCGTGCGTAAGGGCTGCAGGGAAGGGGCGCGCCGAGCGGGCCGAGTGACACAGCAACCAGGACTGCACACCGGAATTCATCATATGCCTCAGCCCGCCATGACGCAGAGCGTGCGCGTCCTGGCTGCCGAGGCCGACGAGGAACTGAGGCTCGCTTCTTTCCTGAGCTGTGAGTCGCGGGTGGAGGAAGACCGAGGACACTGTCCTTTCTGCCGAGGTACCGTAAACCCGGTCCTCGCCAAACCCGAGTTTTTTCCCAATCCCCGGCTAAACTGTTTACTATAGTACGTAATGCGTGATGGGACTGCAAATCCCACAATGCCACGCGCCAGTGGGACGTGAGCTCCGGGCGCGCGGAATCTGGATATTTTAAATCTTGGTCTGCAGGGCTGTACGTTGCTTTGTGGTTTATCGAGATTGTTTAGAGTGATCTGTTACGGCACCTTTACTTCGATTTCCTCAAACCTCTGCATAGTCTCCTGATATTTTTACAAGTTATTATTTTTCATTAATATGAGGGAGTTTGGGGTCCTACTGGGAACAATTGCTTACTTTAGATTCTGTGAACACTAAACTGAGTTCTTGGTAATTTTAAAAATACATGTTTTGTATGAAGCATTTAAAAGATTTAAAATGATTTCTCTCAACTCTCACATGTGTATACAAATGACAAAACCTGGTTCCCCCTCCTATGTGTCTAAAAGCACTGAGGGAAGAACTCTGCATATCGGTAACCTCTCAGAGAAAATACATTAAATACTTGGAAAGTTAAAGATTGTTAGAAAGGAAATATCTTTTTTTTCTACCCTTCTGGGTTTTCTGCTGGCGCTTTGTAGCAAAAGGTGAACAAAAGAAAAATTGACAGAAGTTTGTTAATACGTATATCATACCTACGAGAGAAAAACTCAGGGATGAGTAACTCAAAGGTGACTCCAGAGCTTGGGTTATAAAGCATCTAAACAAAGGAACAATACATTTTTACGGAAGTGACACGAAAAAGACCTTAATTAGAGGCATCTCATAATTAGAGGCATCAAATTATGAGAATGCAAATATATGAGAAAGTAATGGTAGATAAAGACTAATTAATAAAACTTGTTATATAGGCTCCTCCTGCGCAGTCTTTTAGGCTAATGATGAGTTTAAAATTGTCTTGGATGATCACTTTTGGCCTTCCTGGTAGAGAGATAAGGAGGAAAATCTTTAAAGATTTGTGTACTCTTTTAAACAAATAGAGGAATCATAAAGAGCTTTTCTTTTATCTGCTTCTTTTATTGCCTTCGGTTCAAAATAATCCTTATACCAAAGAGGCTTGTGTTGGGGTTGCAAATTTTACTGCCCGTCACTTCAATCACAACAGGAAAAGTGAGCACTACAAATAAATTGCGATCAAACAGTATAATTTCATGAAAATATTTTACAAACTTTAAGTGAGAATTCAGCCACGTGACATTATTTTGTGTTGATTTTAAACTACTTGCAGGCCAGCACATAAGAGATTAAATCTGGTTATACATAATGTCTGCAAATTGGAAATAACGTGAACATATTCAAAGTCTAATGTGTATGTTACGATTGTAACTGCAATAACATTTAAGCTGCCTATATGTAGGAAAACTGAAAACAAGCTGCACGTTACTTTATTAGAGAAGTGGGATTTGAGATGCAGTAGTTCTTATATTGTTTTTTAAACACTAATGTTAAAACAATTCTTGTAAAACCAGTTTCCATTTTATTGAGCGTTTTTCACAAACTTGAATCAAAACGCTGAAAGGAAGCTTAAAGATATGAAGATTCCAATGAAGGAGGAACAGACGGCATTAGAGTCGCATCCATACTTAATGTTTTATTGTGTGTGTACATGTGTAGTAGTTACAGTAAGTATACTACTAATTAGAAGTAAAATGTACAATGCTGCCCACCAGGAGTGACTTCAAACAATTCTTAACAAAAACTGTTAACGTACCACACCGCAGCAGATGGCAGATTTCATAGGGATATATATAATTTAACTCGCTGGAGTGAATATAATCAGAGGCATTGTTCTGATTATAAAGAAAACAAAGGTTTTTCAAATAAAATGTTCTTTTCTAGTCAGCTCGCTGTTTCCCATTCCTTTCTGAAAAGCCCTGAAGTACACAAATATCGCGAGAACATTTTACTCTCGCTTTGCTGGTAGGTGCTCGGAGCTGAGGCCGGAGATTAGCCCATCAGGAGGAGGGGCCTCTTCGGTCCCGACCCGTTGCCGGGATACGCGGAGGCGCTCAGCCTCAACTGGCTGGGCCTGAGGGCTCAGGAAAGCTACAAGTGTAAGTGGGTGGTCTCGAGGCAGCGAACCCGTACGTGGAGATGAGTGGTGCGCTCCGCAGTGGCGTGACCTGGAGTGTTGCTACCTCCCTCATTCGGCGCTGAAGGAGGTGAGAAATCCCGGGTCCCATTTCTCCTTCCCTTCCTCTGTAGCGTAGTATCTCACCTTGGAGATGCTGATGTCCTCCAAAGAAGACAAATCAAACTCTAGGTTCTTAGCTGCTATCCTCAGGCCGCCGTTAGGTCAGAGGAGTCAAAAGTGTAGCCCCGCAAAACGTGCGCTGAGACAATCCAACAGTCCCCGTAGGAGACCTGCCAAGGCGAGACCAAAGGGAAGAATTCAAGAGCTTAAGAGAAAAAAAAAATCACGGGACTGGGAGATTTTGCTCAAAATAAAATTGCTTTCTGTCTGTCGTTCATAGCATAAGGGACTGAGAAATTTTTCATTTCTTTATATATGTTAAGCTAAACAGCAAAACAAGCAAGCAGAAAAAAAAACAAAAGACACTGAAATAGAGAACAGGGGGACAGCGACCAGAGGGGAGAGGGGAGGGAATTTAAGGGGAAAAAAGAAGAGGGATTTAGAGAAACAAGTATTGAAGGACACAGGGACAGTAACTAAGGGGGGTGGAAATGGGAGGGAGGTGGGGAGCACGGGGCGGGATGGGCTTGGATGGGAGAAATAGACAGAAAACTGTACTTGAAAAATAATTAAATTTTAAAAAAGATGGATGGTTTAGGGAAGAGGATAGTAATAAGAGCCAGGTGTTTATATATACTATTTGTAATCTTCACAACAGTTCTGCAAGATAGAGGCTAACGCCAGACTTCTGTTTTACAGGTGAGGAAGAACTTCCAGAAGGGATTATAAAGCTGGTAACTATCAGAGCTCAAGTTTGTATCCCTAATCTTTCTTGAATCAAAGGCCAGGCTGCTTCTCTGAGTATGTGTGAATAAGCCCAGAGTTAGAGGCATTTTGGTTACTAGTACCACACTCTTTTATGCTACCCCCTAGGACTAATCAAATACTGTATTTTTACCGTGACAGTAAAGCAGTAACAAAGAAGATGAGGTGGAAATTTGATATTTTGTACATTTTCTTAAAGTTATCAGGAAAGCTAGGGTCACATTGACTACTTCTACTGGAATCAAAGGTTTATTTTGTTAGCTTTCTTTGGGAGAAACCATGACCTTGTCAGCCTTTCAAAAAGTTACTTCATGAGACTCTTTTTCCATTTGAGATAATAATAATGGTAATGATTTCTTACTTTGTTCACAGTTCAAAAGGGCAAGGAAATGGAATAACGGAGCTAGTTGGAATGAGCAAATTTTAAGTTTTGGTGTGAACATATTCAGTATGAAGTGATAATGGCGTATCTCAATAGAAATTTTCAATAAACAATTGAAAATTTAGAATCGATATACAGTTTAAAGGACAGACCTGCAGACATTGATGAGTCATCAACATAGTTGAAGGTATAAGAAAAAGGATGAAAGATTATAGAGAGAATAAAAGTAATACAAGCATTGGGCAGGGAGTATAGAAGTCAAGAAACTATTTTAGTAGAATAAATGATTCATTTCACTTTTAATGATTTAGTAAATTTTTTGTAATTGACAAGGCCTTCATATGGGAGAAAATTCAGAAAGTACAAAAGAACAAATTTTTTGCCCGCCACTGAAATACTGGGGATATAGAGATGAATGAGATCCAGGCCTGTCCTCAAGGGAGAGAAATACCGAAGCAGATCATTTCAATCAGTGTGATGGTTACTAAGATATAGGTATGGCCAGGATACATAGTAGCATATAGGAGAGGCCTTTAAATTCAATTTAGAAGGGGTGGTTAAGGACTGGTTTTTGTGGAAGGGTTCCTAGGGAAAATAACAGGCAAGATGTGTATTAGACAAGCAGACCAGCAAGGAGGCCAATATACTAATCCACTTGACTCCATCAGGCCCTGGACAATACTGTAGGAACAAAAGGGGAGGTACATGTTAAACATTCAGGAATAAAATCAGCAGGACTATGTGACTGGCTATGGGAAATGAGGGAGAGGAAGAAATCAAGGACTTAAGTTTCTGATTTGTGTGACTAGGAGGTGCTACCAAGAGGAAGAACTGAAAAAAATAAGACTGAAAAGGGGAACCAGAAGAGGGGAGCGTTATGAAAAGGGTTTCATATAGGAGGGGATATTAGTAACAGATGACATTTACATCCCTAGCTGTGTTGGCAGGGGCCATTTGAATGGAATAATAGAAAATAAGGAGATATTGGAAATTGAAAAGGTAGAGAATAGTGGTTATAAGCTATTTTTTTTTAAAGTTTGGCTGCATAGGAAAAGGGTATGTGGGATATTGTTAAAAGTGTTTTCAAGATCAAGAAATTAATCTTTAAGGTTAGGAAAGAGTCGAACATAACAGAGAATGGAGAAAGTTTAAAGATATGGGTGGGAGTGGGATAGTTAAAAGGAAATTGGAGTGGAAAAGAAGGGGACTAGGAGGAGAACTCTATTGTCCCATTGAAAATGGGATTAAGAGGGTAAATCAGAACAGATTGACTTTAAACAAAAGAATGGGTAGCTACCGAGATCAGAGCACAGGGTGGGTATAGGGAGGTTTGTGTGCTCCAAACTTGGTGGATTTCAAACCTAATTTTGCAAAATTAGTAGGAAATTGTCAGATTAGTAAGAAATCTGCTGAGAGTAGTGGGAACAGAGTGTAGATTGAAAACTGGATAAGGATTGGAATCATTAAGGAGAGAAGTCATTTATAAAGGATAAATAAAATTTTCTGTGATGAGAGTCCAGCTAAGTTTTGTGACGATGACTTTGCAGTAGTCCAGACTATACAGTTGTCACAATTTCTACTAGCAACGTTCAGTAAACCTGGTTGGATATGGAGGAAAGTATCTGATTTTGCCAGATAGGTCAAGTAAAGTTCAAGGATATGAATTAGTTGATGGTGCTCATTAGACAATATAGTGTAGAGAAGGAAAAAAAGTCCTTGAAACTGTTCTCGCCAAAGGTCATTAGTGGCTTCTTTGATGGGGATGTCAGTGGACATTTTAGTGTTCATCTTACTTGAATTCCCAGCAATAAATGGCACAGCTGACCATTCCTGCTGTTTTCTTGGCATCTCTGACACACACTCCTGGTTTCTGTATTTGTTTTTTTTTTTTTTTGGCCCTCATTTTTAGTCTCATACTCTTTTATCTGAATGCAAAGATATTCCTCTGGCAATAGTCTTGAGCACTCTTTTTCTCCTTATTCTCTCTCTAGATCAGAATCTTTAAAAGTCTTTTGAACATGACCTATAACAGGATATATATTTTACTTTAAAGATCAGTACAAATGTGTAAATTTATATAAATATAACTGAAACAACAAATGTAATGAGATAATACCATTTCTATACAATGAACTTTTTTTATTGCACTCATATATTGTTTTCTTTTATGTTTAAAGCATATGTGTCATAACCTATCAGATTGTTCTTACAACCCCACTAGAAGGTCATGACTCATAATTTGAAAAATGTTATCCTAAATTATCAGTGAAAACTTTAAATAATATTCTGATGGGTAAAGGAAGAGACCAATAAACAGAGAGAATGAGTGAATTAAGGAAATGGTTTAAAAAGAGGCTAATGAGAATAAAGATGAGAAGAGGGGGAGGAGATTAAAGTCAGAGAATAAAGTACTTCATTTAAAATGTTTGAGATGAAGCAATTCCAATTGACAAGCTCAAAGTCTGGCCATGGCTATCTGAAATGGGATTGAGATGGTTACTGAAATTTAGGTTAGGGAACTGAAGCTAGAATTTAGGTATTGACTACATTATCCACGTGAAAGTCATTCAGGATGTTGGTGGAACTGGAATAGAAACTAAACTAGAGGTACAAAGACCTTAGTGAAGATGAGGGAGACATTAAGTGATCCCTATAAAAAACAACCAGGAAAGATCTAAGGTAACATGGTTGTATTACCTGGTCCTTAAAGAAAGAAAATTCTATTTATTTTTTAAAGGCTTGGAGGCATAATGTTTTGAAAGTTACAGTGTAGGGCAAAGGTAGTGCCACGCACTCCTTTGTTTTTAGAATTGGGGAACTAGAAGCTAAAACAACTTTTGTTATTGAAAGTGTTTTTTAGGGAAAGCCAGTATTCTGTTAAAGAGAAGAGTAAAAGTATAGTCATACTTCAGTACTCGTCAGCTTTAGAATTTGTCAAACCCTGTATCCATAGCATTTGGACAAGAAAAAAAATATTTCAGCACCTGGTGCTTACTTGGGACCCCTTGCACTTGCTAGAGCTTGTATGAGTGATGACACCACCCAAGAGAAAATGCTTCATCACTCCTTGCATTTGGTACTCATTGGTTTTGCACTTATCATGAGTTCTAGAATGAATTAATGACAAATACCAAGGTACCACTGCATTTAATAACTGGATTGAGAATATAAGGGGCATGGACCAGAAATCACAGAGAAAGATTGGAAGACAAAGATGCTGGGTAAATTTACTAGAGTATGGGATGAGAGCACAGGAAACATATCTAGAGGGTGTAGTATTTTGATGAGATTATAGAGAAATGAGGAAGGCATGTTTTAGTAAATGATTTCATAGTTCTAAATGGGAAAATAGTGTCAAATTTGAACTAAATTAAATCAGGCTCAGCCTTGTAGTAGTACCTAGAATGGCAATTGCAAGAAAAATCATTGTGGATTAAATGTTTGAAGGAAGGTTTATGTGGGGCACTAGTATCTAACTATAGAAGATATCAAATGGGAATTGAACAATTTCTTGTTTCCAAACAGTGATTAAAGTAAAGAAGCAATGGCTAGTAACCACAAACCTTCAGTAGCTCGCCCTGTTTCACGAGGTGGAATTGGGTTAACAGGAAGGCCTCCTTCTGGAATAAGACCCCCGTCAGGAAACATTCGAGTGGCAACTGGAGTAAGTTTAAAACAAATCTATTGAAATGTTGTACATATATCTTGGTAGAAGTTGGAAAGCCTGTTTATAATGAGAAATCCTTGTTATTTATTCTGTGAGCATATTATAATATAATTTTGTTTTTTGAAAACATCAAGGAGTATAAATGTATGAGAATGTCGGAAAGACACTATAGAAAGAAGGGACATGCTCATGCTGATATTCAAGTGTATTTTAAAACTACAGTTATTAAGGTGGTAGGGTGTATTTGTGTCAATATCAAATGAAATGGATAGAATCAGAAATAGCTAAGAATTTAATTAATGATGAAGGTGACATTTCAAATTATTTGAAAAAGTATGGAGTATTTAGTAATGCACTCAAATTACTGAAAACCATTTGTTTTTAAGAAATTGACCCCTCCCTCACATAGAATTTGAGATAATTGAGAAGCTTTATATTTAAAAAAGGAAACCATAAATATTCTAGAAGAAAATACAGGCAAGTATTTTATATAAACTTGGTGTGGCCTAGGCTTTTGTAAAATAATGGAAACATCAAATACTGAAAAATGGGGTATTTTTGTATTTTAATTTACAAAATTGAAAATACCCAAAAATGTTAAAAGAAAAATATCAAACTGGTGAAAAAATTATTTGTAATATTTATGTCATATGTAGAGTTCAGAATCCATATGGGCTTTTTCTATATTAAGGCTATAAACCAATCTAAATTTCATGAGATTTCTTGTGGGGGCAATGTATTTGTATGTGTGTGTGTGGCAGGCAAAGGTGGTGGGTATTATTATAAAACTTCTAAAATTTATCTAAAATAATAAAAAAGCAAAAATAAGAATTTACTGTGGGATATCCCCTCCCAAGGAGCTCTGGCCTCCGCAGATGAGAATAAGTCGTCCCGGACACAATCTGTTCTTCCAGTGGGAAAAGTGTGGCAGTTCCCTCTGGTGGAGGATGCCTGGAGCCCTTCTCCAAGACAGCTTTTATTGGGCTCAGTATGTGCAAGGATATACAGCATACATGCATAGCTCATCAATCGATGCCCAAAGGCTATAGTTATAAAAAACTGATATTATAGATGACAAATGAGAAAACACAGATATCTGCTTCAGTCAGGGTCTATTAGACATGCCAGAGCCAGATGGTTGTTAAGGTAGATTTCCTAAGATAAGGAGTTCATTCCTTTTGCTTTGAACTTAAACATCTGGACTATACCAACGGGGCAATAGCAAAGCAAAGCAAGCTTCAAAGAATATAATGTATTCTTAAGGCCTGATTTCCCATAGGAACCCACTGTGTTGGTGGGTTGTACCTGCCACCAGCATTCCCTGCTTTCCAGTAGAGATTTATTGTCAAGGCCTTACTTGTGCGGGGCTACAGTCTCCAAAACCACACAGAGTAGTCCCCAACACTGTACAGTGGTATGAACTATATTATAAATCATAAGTAAAATGATGTTCTGGTTGCAACAGTAGTCTAGAAAACACCTGATAAATATTAACAGCTTGCATGTAAGATAGAGTGTCATAAATCAGTGAATCACTAAGAGAAAAGTATGGTATTAGAACAAAATCCATAAACTTTACAAACTGATAATTCTAAGCAGAATAATATCCTATAAAGGTAATTATTACATTTTCATTATCATTATAACAGTGAAATTTGAATATAACCTAAACAACCTTACAACAGATAACTCATAAATAAATTATATGTCTGTCTTTATCCTAAACTATTAGGTAGCCATTAAAAATTCTTTTAAAGAATATTTGAGGAAATAATATATATAATAGAGAATTAAGTGAAAAAAGCAGTGTGAGAAAAAAGCAGTGTGGTGACAGTTTAATATAAAAAGTAGATTTATATGTACATGGGAAGAAATGAATAAACCAAAATATTCATAGTCATTTCTCTGTTGCTTGCAGCAAATGGTTTTAACTACCACATAAGGTGCATATCAAGCATTCAGGTTCAGAGAATAGAGATAATGTTGGGTCCTACGCTTTATAACAAGAGCAGCATTTTGGGAATGGAATAATTTTGTTAAAATCAGTTTTCTTAAACTTTTGAGATTTTTCTACAGTTTTAGGTAATATTATCGATATCATCATCCACTTATACTGAAATGATTTTTCTAAATTTATAGATAATACTGAACTGGGGTATCTTTTTCTATTATTTTATAAAAAGAAATGGACATTAGCCACTTACTATTTGCCAGGTACTTTATACCTATTTAATGTTTGCTGTTTTTAAAATACTAATGCTCATTATAAAACATACAAAGAAATGTCAGAGTTCCCTCCTTCTACCCCAGGTATAATCATTGTCAAGGATACATTGACATGTATCCTTTTACAGTATTTTTCCATCTTTTTTCAAACACTGATATATACACACAAATAATTGTATGATTTTAGCATTTTCCAAAATAAAGATAATAGTATGTACATTCTTGTCCTTTACTTTCAGTAATATGTCATAAGTATATCAGTACTATATCATAAATATATTTTCTTTTTTTAATTGATTATGCCATTACATTTGTTCTATTCCCCCCTTCATTCCCCTCCACCCTGCACACCCCTCCTCCACCATCCCCCCCCTTTAGTTCATAACCACGTATCTCAAGTTCTTTAGATTCTATATTTACCCTACAATTCTTACCCTCTCCCCTATCTATTTTCTATCTACGGTCTATGCTACTTATTTTCTGTACCTTCTCCCCCCTTCTCCTTCTCCCACTCCCCTATTGCTAAGCCTTCATGTGATCTTCATTTCTATGGTTCACTCCTGATCTAGCTGTCCTCTTAGTTTGCTTTTGTTCTAGGTGTGGTTGTTAATAACTGTGAGTTTGCTGTCCTTTCACTGTTCATTTTTTTTATCTTCTTTTTCTTAGGTAAGTCCTTTTAACATTTCATATAATAAGGGCTTGGAGATGATGAGCTCCTTGAACTTGATCTTATCTGAGAAGCACTTTAACTCTTCTTGCATTTTAAATGAAAGCTTTGCCGGATAGAGCAATCTTGGTTGTAGGTCTTTGGTTTTCATGACTTGGAATCCTTCTTTCCAGCCCCTTCTTGCCTGTAAGGTCACTTTTGAGAAATCCGCTGACAGTCTGATGGGAAGTCCTTTGTAGGTGGCTGTCCCCTTATCTCTTGCTGCTTCTAGGATTCTGTCCTTCATTTTAATCTTGGCTAATGTAATGATGATGTGCCTTGGTGTGTTTCTTCTTGGGTCCAACTTCTTTGGGACTCTCTGACCTTCCTGGATTTCCTGGAAGTCTATTTCCTTTGCCAGAATGGGGAAGTTCTCCTTTATTATTTGTTCAAATAAGGTTTCCACTCGTGGCTGTTTCTCTTCCCCTTCTAGTACCCCTATAATTCAGATGTTGGAGTATTTAAAGATGTCCTGGAGGTTCCTAAGCCTCTCCTCATTTTTTTGAATTCTTGTTTCTTCATATTTTTCTGTTTGGTCATTTTTCCTCCCTCTGGTCTGCTTCCTTGATTTGATTCCCAGTTTCCTTTCCATCACTATTGGTTTCCTGTGCATTTCCCTTCATGTCAGTTAGTTTAGCCTTCATATGTTCCTCTAATTTGTGGCTAAGATCAATCAGTTCTGTGAGCATCCTGATCACCAGTGTTTTGAACTGTGCCTCTGATAGGCTGGCAATTTCTTGTTCGCTTAGATTTATTGGCTCTGGGGCTCTGAGTTCTTCCTGAGCCATGTTTTGATCTGTTCGTGCCTGTTAGGTATGAGGAGCAGAGCCTTAGATGTTCACCAGGGTGGGGCCGCCCAGGTTACTGGTTTGTGACGCTATATGTGGGGGCGGGGTCAGAGAGGGAGTAATAGCGGTTCTTTCTGCTCCCTCCTGCCCAGTGGGCCTCACCATTTGCCCCCCTGCCTGTTTATCTGTGTGCAAAAGCTCAGCTGTGGTCAGCCTGCAGCCCGTTGCCTTCCCTGGGTCCGGCTGTCGCTACTCCACACCTGGGATCCGCACCCTCAGTTGCCTGCGCACCCGAGTTGGGGGATCTTTTTTGCCCTACCAGCTCCCCAGCTGGTTCCACCCCTCTAACTGGTTTAGCTGAGCGGTCGCTGTTGTCAGACTTTGTATTGTTCGATTTTCTGTGGCTTGGCTGTGTTTATTGTTGTTAAAACTTTGTTGTTTTTAGATTTGGTTGTGTGAGGAGGCAGAGTGTTTCCACTTACACCTCCATCTTGGCGGAAGTCCTATCATAAATATATTTTCATGTGAATACATATATATTCCTTTTAATATGTACATTTTTAATTTATACTTCTCTGTACTTTCATCTAGATATTTTTTAAGAAGTAGCATAGTTATTTGAGTAGCTGTCATGATTATGATTGCATAAAGCTGAAGAAATTATTTAGAAGGTTTACCCAGTGAGAAATTTAGCATTTTCTTGTAAGGATCATTCAGAACAACCCTGAACTTATTTCACTTGAATTTGGAGTTGACAATGTTTCTGTGTTCAACATATTTTCTCTGGAAAGTGTCACTGTTGCTGGCTCCCCTGTACTCAAAATAATTGCTAAGTAATTGTCAGAATCACTTAAGAGCTATGTTAGCTGATAGGATTAGAGGATACCAGCTAACAATTAAAAACAATTAAAGTGAATGACAATGGCTATATACAACCCCTGTTTAAAATTTCTACAACATATTTATTTATTTTTTTAATTTTTTATTGATTATGCTGTTACAGTTGTTCTATTCCCCTCTTCATTCCCCTCCACCCTACCCCCCCATCCCCACCATTACCCCCCCTTTAGTTTATAACCATGTGTCTCAAGTCCTTTAGATTCTATATTTCCCATGCTATTCTTGCCCCCCCCCATCTATTTTCTATCTACTGTCTGTGCTACTTATTTTCTGTACCTTCTCCCCCCTTCTCCTCCTCCCACTCCCCTGTTGCTAACCCTCCTTGAGATCTTCATTTCTATGTTTCCACTCCTGATCTAGCTGTCCTTTTAGTTTGCTTTCGTTTTAGGTGTGGTTGTTAATAACTGTGAGTTTGCTGTCCTTTCACTGTTCGTCTATTTTATCTTCTTTTTCTTAGGTAAGTCCCTTTAACATTTCATATAATAAGGGTTTGGTGAGGATGAACTCCTTGAACTTGACCTTATCTGAGAAGCACCTTATCTGTCCTTCCATTCTAAATGAAAGCTTTGCTGGATAGAACAATCTTGGTTGTAGGTCCTTGCCTTTCATGACTTGGAATACCTCTTTCCAGTCCCTTCTTGCCTGTAAGGTCTCTTTAGAGAAATCAGCTGAGTCTCATGGGAACTCCTTTGTAGGTGACTGTTCCCTTAGCTCTTGCCGCTTCTAGGATTCTCTCCTTCATTTTAACCTTGGCTAATGTAATGATGATGTGCCTTGGTGTATTCCTTGTTGGGTCCAACTTCTTTGGGACTCTCTGAGCTTCCTGGACTTCCTGGAAGTCTATTTCCTTTGCCAGATTGGGGAGGTTCTCCTTCATTATTTGTTCAAATATGTTTTCCACTTGTTGCTCTTCCTCTTCTTTTTCTGGTACCTCTATAATTCGGATGTTGGAACGTTTAAAGATGTCCTGGAGGTTCCTAAGCCTCTCCTCATTTTTTTGAATTCTTGTTTCCTCTTTCTTTTTTATTTGGTTGTTTCTTTCTTCCTTCTGGTCCACTCCATTGATCTGAGTCCCAGTTTTCTTCCCATCACTATTGGTACCCTGTGCATTTTCCTTTATTTCACTTAGTTTGTCCTTCATTTTTTCATCTAATTTGCACCCAAATTCAACCAATTCTGCGAGCGTCCTGATCACCAGTGCTTTGAACTATGCATCTGATAGGTTGGCTATCTCTTGGTTGCTTAGATGTATTGGTTTTGGGCCTTTCATCTGTTTTTTTTTTTTTTTTGGTCTGCTCTCACTTGTTACCTGGTGAGGGGTGGAGCCTTAGGTGTTCACCAGGGCAGAGCAACCTGGTCACTGGGTTGTGACACTGTATGTAGGGGTGGGGTCTGAGAGGGAACCCTAGGGCTTGTTCCACTCTTTCTTCGATTTCAGTTTCTTCTGTCACTTCCCACAAGCAAATTGGGCCCTTCTGGTGCTGGCTCCCGGGTGTGTGGGCTTCTGCACCTTCTATAACCCTGTAGGTCTCTCCAAGGAACTCTCCTGTGAGGCTGAGAGTCTCTCCCGGCCCCTCAACCCCCACAAGTGTTTTCGATCGGTGATTTTAGGCTTTATTTTCTGGCGCTGGGGCCCTGGGTTGCGTGGTCTCACTGCCTGTTTTCACCCGGTTTATCTGCGCTATAATGTGTGACCACGGTCAGCCAGCCGCCCTGCCAGCTGCCACTTGTGAGCCTGGATCCACCAGCCATGGCTTTTTCCTGCCCCAACCCCTATCCACCGGACACTGACTTCGCCCCTCTTTCCTGTCTACATAAATGGTTGTCAGATTTCTGTGCAATTCAAATTTCTGTCAGTTCTGGGTGCTTTTTTGTTTCTAATTTTTGTTGTCCTTAATTTGGTTATTGGAGGAGGCACAGTGTTGTACCTATGCCTCATCTTAGCCAGAAGTGTTTTTTTCTGATTTTTAAAGGTTATATATATACTTACCATAAATAATGCTGAAAACACCAAATTACATAAGTGGCAAAATAAAAATGAACTATTATATCATGTAGAGATAACCAGTGGTATCTCATTGTGGTTTTAATTTGCATCTCTCTGATGGCTAGTGATATTGAGCATCTTTTCACGTGTCTCTGGATCCTCTGTATATCCTCCTTGGTGAAGTGTCTGTTCAAGTCCTTTGCCCATTTTTTAATTGGGTTGGTTGCCTTCTTAGAGTGGAGTCGTGTAAGTTCTTTGTATATTTTGGAGATTAAACCTTTGTCTGTGGTATCGTTGGCAAATACATTTTCCCATACAGTTGGTTGTCTTGCTAATTTAATACTGTTTTCTTTATCCATGCAGAAGCTTTTTATTTTGATGAGATCCCATTTGTTTATTCTTTCCTTTATATTCCTTGCTCTAGGGGACATATCAGTAAAGAAGTTGCTGTGTGAAATATCTGAGATTTTCCTGCCAATGTTCTCCTCTAGGACTTTAATGGTGTCACGGCTTATATTTAAGTCTTTTATCCACCTTGAATTTATTTTGGTGTATGGTGTAAGTCGGTGCTCAAGTTTCATTTTTTTGCACGTAGCTGTCCAGTTCTCCCAGTACTATTTAATACAGCTTATTTAATCATTTTCTATGGTTATCTGAGGAAAAATATGTGGACATTTAACTCCTTTCCAATTTTGGAGTATTATAAATAATGTCTACACATAGAACTTTACATTTTAAAGAATTTTATTTAATAATGTTTCATATTTCAAACATTAAAAAATGAAGGGGTATTTTACAAATTATGTTGAATTAAATTTTCAAAATATTCTCTTTATATTCTTAACAATAGTAGAAGTTCAGTGTTTTTCTAGTTTATTAAAACTGAAATCTTGTTTCTTATTTAGATGCCACCTGGAACAGCAAGACCAGGCTCTCGTGGTGGCCCCATGGGGACCGGTGGAGTTCTGTCTTCTCAGATTAAAGTTGCAGATCGTCCTGTAACACAACAAGGTTTGAGTGGAATGAAAACTGGAATTAAAGGTATGTGTTTTAAGAAGATTAGTATATTTTGTATATGAACTGTTATAGTACCTTGTTACTAAATTAGAAATACAGTGTGAAAGAGGCTATTTTACTCAATTCTTGTTCCTTGATTCACAAAATTTTTTGAGGGTTAAATAAGAGAATAAATGTGAAATACATTGTAAACTAGATTATATTTTGATCTTTATTTTTCTGAACAAAGAGATTTGTTACAACTTAAAGAAATTTGAAATAATTTGAAGAAAAGCTAAAGAATGAAAATTAAATTTCTAGTACCATATGGAACTTACTGAAATACTTTTTGATTTTTTTATATCAAAATTACACTATTACGATATTTGTGTATTTATGAGAAGTCAAAAGTGTTATTTTTTCGAATAATACTATGTTATAATACTTACATAAGGAAATAAGGCTAACACAGATTTATGCCACATCTCTCACTATGCTTCTCTGTATATATTTAGAAAGGTATAACAATATACTATATGTTGTGATTCAAAAAACTGGTCTGTATAAATATATAAATCAAAGCATGGTGAACTGTTTTATGAGTGCTTTATTTTCTGTATTTGTGACAGATGACTATCAGGAATGAAGATATTTTACTGGTACAAAATCAACTATAAGATATTAGGCTACCTTTTTAATGTAGCATGTCATGCCTTTCAGGAGACTTAAATTTTCTTACTTGTATTATAATATACTTAGCTCACTAAATATTAAAAATCAATAGATTATTTAGAAAAGCTTGGTTAATAATTATCAATACTGTGAAAAAATGAGTCAAAATTATATAGTTGTTTAGTCTTTAAAATATTATTCATGAAAATGTTTATGTGCTTAATATTATTAAACATTAAGGTTAGAAACATACTGAAATTCCATGAAGAATTTACTAAATATTTATACTGTATTAATTTCTCCTTTAAAACAAAATATCCTTTGTTCAGTTTCTATCAATACACTTCAAAGCCTTACATAAAAAAGTTTTGATTGTTACCACTATACACCACTGTCTGTTGTGTCTTTTGTTCTTACCGATTCTAGTATCCCATTTCCCATTTTAATAAGACATTTTCTCCTTTTTTTCCACTTAGACCTTCCTAGCCTTAACTCTCATGCCTTGCAGGGCACTTATCTCTTTCAAGATTTGGGACATTTAACCTAGGAGTACTTTCTTAGTCCTACTGAAATATAAGATCATGTTTATAAAAAAGTCTCTGAGACAGATTATGAAAAGCCAATAGCTTTTTAAGTTTAAACTAATTATAATTAAGTAAAATAAAACTTCAGTTTCGCACTAGGACCAGGCACATTTCAAGTGCTCAGTAATCCCATGTAGTTCATTTATTGGACAGTGCTGATATATAGTATTTTCGCTGTTGTAGAAAGTTCTCTTGAGTGGCCCTGTTCTAGACTCCCTTACCCAATTTCCATTTAGTCAACCTGACCTGAGGAGTCTGTCTTAATACCCACACCTCTAATTCCATCTTTGTGGTTTTAATTCAAGCTTCTATTATATTATGATGCTAATACATTAGTTCTCTTTTCCATTTCAGTGATTCTTCTTCATTATCAGATTTATTGGGGCATTCATGAGGACTGTCAGAATTGTACAGTGTAATTCTTTTGATTTGCTATTTTGGTGGCATTTCTAAACTGAACACTAATGCTTAAAAAAATTTTTTTAGGTCCCCAGAGGCAAATTTTAGACAAATCTTATTATCTTGGGCTTCTTCGGTATGTTAAATAAACATGTTTTTTTCTATGCATGATTATGAAATTTTAACTATGGTACTTATTGAAATAATTAGATATGTGTTGATTTCTAAGATTTATTTTATATTCTAACATAACTGTGGGTTAATTTGGCTGTACTACAGTATAGAAATATAATGAAATTAGGCTGAGATTTTAAATTTTATATATTTGTATATATGTTAGCTATATATTTCAAGTTCACTTTTTAAAAGTTTAATGATAAATATAACCTTTTATGCTTTTTTCATTGATTGTTCTAAAATATATTATTTATACTATTGAAATATCATCAATTAGACATCTCATAAGAAAGGGAATATGTGTATATTTATTTATGAACATTAATTAATGCAGAATTTTATCTAAGTATATATTTGGTCAGTCGCTACAAATATTGCCTAATTTTAATTAGTTCATAAGCTGTGTTATATATCTCTATGCAGTTCTAAATGAAGAACTTTCTTCTTTTTTTCTCCCTATCTTTTTCTCTGCTGATGTCCTACTATTTTATCTTCATTTTCCCATTTTACACTATTTTCTTTTTGGTTCCTCATCTATATCTTCTTTCTCTCTTGTTCCACCTCATTTAACCCTTTCTTCTATTGTATCATAAAAGTTCATTTTTCTTTCTTAGTCCTTCTTGATTCTTTTGTCTCAGTTACCTGATTTTTTTTGATGCTCAAACCTGTAGAAGTAAATAAAGAGAAATGTAGGTTTTCCCCATCTATCCTTAACATCAATAAGAAAGATAGTAAGACAATTGTTTATAGCATCTCTTGATATCCAGCCACTTTTTAATCAAAAGAAGGAAACAAAATGGAGCCATTTGTCATCATGACATTGCCTCTCTTCTTCAGGATTTCTGATTCTGCCTCAAAGAGTAGTTCTGGCTATTTGTGTAATTGTTCAACTCTACAGCAATGCTCAACTGGTGGTGATTTTGTTCCTCAGAGAACACTTGGCAATTTTTAGACATTTTTAGTTGTCATGAGTGGGATTCAGAAGATATGTCATTAGCTTCCAGTCTAGGCACGCTGTTAAACATTCCATATTGCATGGGATAGTCCCCCCCAAACCCCACATAAGTATTATTCAGTGACTTAAAATGTCAGTAATATCACTCTTAAGACACCATGTCACAGAGTGTAGCGGAGCTGTGAGTGTGACAATCAGGCATCTACTTCCATCTCTAGATTGTACCAGTTTGACCAGGTTTCCATTCCAGTCTTATGTCATTTTTCTTAATAATTCCGGAGTCTATGTTAGCTTCTCAACAGTTGGGATATACTTCATTCTTAATCAAATAAGCCACTTAAATTATTTTTAAGTCAGATTTCACAAAACCATTTATTTTATTGTTTTGTCTGACTAGAATATTTTTTCTTGATTAGAAGTATTACTGACTTATTTGTTTTCATTTAGGAGTAAAATAAATGAACTTACGACAGAAATTAATAAACTACAGAAAGAAATAGAAATGTACAATCAAGAGAATTCGGTATACTTGTCATATGAAAAGCGGTGAGTAATTTTGTAGGTAAAATATGTAATGTCTTTTTTATTAGTAACATTTAATGTTACATGTTTCAGGAGTTTAATACTGAATTTGTAATTATCAATAATGTTCATAATGTTGATTAGCTTATTTATCAATTAATGAGTGTATTTATTTTATGCTTGCAGAGCTGAGACTTTAGCTGTTGAAATCAAAGACTTTCAAGGACAGCTAGCAGACTACAACATGGTATTTGATTTTTCATAGAGAATTTTTTTTGAATATTTTCATTGCTTTTTACTACTTTAAAAAATGTATTATTTTAAATACCAAATAACACATGATTTACATGCATATTGTGAAAGACTGAAATTTATATATAGAACGTGTGCAAAGCACTGTCCCTTTGCTTTCTCTCTTATTTCCCTGCCCAGAAATAATTTGGCTTAACAGATTGATAAGTATTCATCCAGTCTTTTTTTAAAAAGTATGGTTATTTACAACTACTGATTCACGTACGTGTTATTTTGCTCTAACAATCTGTGTTAAAGTGATAATTTTAAAAGTAGCTCAAATTTATTGGGTACTAAAATATTAGCTAAGAACATTTTATCTTTCTATGGAGTGTTATCATCATGAAATATTAAAAATTTAATATTTAGGATGCGGTACCTCCATTCTCATGTTTCATTTGAAATACAGTGTTTGCTTCTGTCAAAAATAGAGTGTGTAACATCAGCATACTTTCACGAAGAATGCTTCTTCATGGGAAATTTAAAAAGAAATAATCTTTTGGCAGTGTTGATCCCCCAGTTGATGGGGTGATCTTGGCCCCATGAAAATTTCTAGTATCAGAATTTTTTTTCTTCCAACTTTGTAGATGATTTTGGCAGCAGTGGTATCTGGGCTTTATGAAAGAGAAAAACATTTATCTCACTTCTGCTATTAAAAAAGTTTTGCATAAAATAAGAAATATTTTTTTCAGTGGTTAAGTAAATTATGATATACTTAGTGGATATTGTTATATTGTACTTACCAACAAAATTTTGCTGAATATTATAATTCTCACATTTGTTAGGCTACATAATCCATAAAAAACATTTTGTGTGGCTTAATATTTAGTGGGTTTTTTTCAAGCAAATGATATTCTGTTCTAAATATGAGAAAATTAGCTTTTTATTAAATGAAAGGTATTTTTATTTGTATTAAGTACATTAGGCAAATTAGTATAAAAATATTAACATGTAAAATATGCTGTATATGGATTTAATGAGTTAACATCTGATGCAGCAAAAGCACTTAGCCAGGTTTCTAATGTATGTATAGTAAGCATGCAACAAGTGTGAAGTTTTATTATTTATATCACAAGTGAAAATGTGATATATATTAACATATATATATTACATTAATAAAGATTATTAGTCTATTCAAATCAATCACACCAAAGTAGTTTGCTTTTAGTAGCCCTCTTGTTCAAATTCTGTCTCCACAATTTGCTAAATTTCATTTCTTTTCTTTCCTTCTCTTTTCTCCTTCCTTCCTTCCTTCCTTCCTTCCTTCCTTCCTTCCTTCCTTCCTTCCTTCCTGACAGAGGGGAAAGGAGGGAGAAATAGAGGGAGAGAAACATCAATGTGTGATTGTTTCTCCTGCACCCCCTACCTACTGGGGACCTAGCCCACAACCCAGGCATGTGCCTTGACTGGGAATCAAACTGGCGACCCTTTGGTTCACAGGCCTGCACTCAATCCACTGAGCCACAATAGCCAGGGCTTTGCAAATTTCTTTATCTGTAAAATGTGGAAAATAATATCTACTTCATAGAGTAATTGTGAAAATGAAGTGAATTAATACATATAACGGGCTTGGAGTGAGTGGTGTTTGGCACAAAATATGTTAGCTATTGCTATCGTTGGCCAACTTTTTTTAAAAAGTTAATTTATTGATTGATTTTAGGGAGAAAGAGAGAGAAATATTGATTCGTTGTTCCATTTATTTATGCATTCATTGGTTAATTGTTTTATATGCCGTGACCAGGGATCAAATTCACAACTTTCATGTGTTAGGATTCTAGCCAGCTGAGCCACCCAGCCAGGGCGTCATACGCAACCTTTTGAAATAGGCTTACCAGTGTTCTGTCTGTGCTTTAATTTGTTGATTTTATTTACTTTTCAGATGACTACAAAAATCATTTTACATTTTTATTGGTGTCAATTTGTAAATCTGTTAACATCCATCTTCCCTGTTGGTGGGGGAAGTGGGGAGGGAGAGAAAGGGAGAAAATGATCTTCCCCAAACTTTTGTCTTCTCTGGACCCTTCTTTATAAGCTCAGGCATCTTCTCAGAGCAGGCAAATCTCTTCAAGGTACAGTCTGCAGGAACAGTGGTAGTTCATTACTGCTCACTTTTTTACATTCCCCAAACTGTAGTTTATGCACAGTATATGCTTACTTAGGTAGTTCAATATTTCTTTTTATATTAGAATATAAAATACTTGTAAATGTTAATACTTAAATGATTTTATTATTTTAAGATTGAATACCTGTATTATGGATTATAGAAAATTTACAGACTAATAGAATGTGTGATTTTTTTTGTATTTTTGTTTTTAGTTGGTAGATAAACTTAATACCAATACTGATATGGAAGAAGTAATGAATGATTACAACATGGTAAGAAAATGTATAAGCAATAGAGCACATAGATAATATCCTCCAAAACAAAGCATTTGTAACTAAAAATAGTTTGATAAAACTTTAATGGACCTTAGAGATTGACACTATGCTGATCCTAAATACCACTATTATAATTGAAGTCCCTTAATTGTGCTTTTAAAACTTCTTCCTGTTCATTGGCTCTCTCAAGTGGATACTTAATATTGTCTTTCTAAAGGCTATGTTTGAAGTGGTCCTACACTTGGCATTAGTTAGGAAGTCTCATCTATATTTTCTTATATGTAAATTAGTTTGCAGTCTGGTTTAATATATGCACAAATGGAGCTGAATACTCAGTAGACATACTATGTCACTTGTACATAGTTTTCTAATAAAGAGAGAAAAGCAAGTAATTATCATATGATGACTGCTTTTGATTGGTAAATGAGATGTTAGTGACTAGTTTATTTTGATTAGAAAGACTTGGCTAAAAATAACATACTACTTATAATCTACATAGCTTATACTTTATTTATAGAATCAAATAAGTTCTATGAAAACAGAATTTATAACAGACTCTTTTCTAAGTTGGGATTCTAAAAGCATGTTAATTTAGTGAAATTATTTTTGGCTTTTAGATCACAGGAGAATTTCCAGTTTGAAAACTTTTAATACCATATGGAAAAAGTAAAAACTTCTTTATAGGTTTTGTCACTTACTTGGGATTGGTCCATATCTTAGCCTGAATATGGACAAGTAGAGTCAACTAGGAGTGCACAGATGAAATCCTGAATTACATCGGAATAAAATTTATGTTGGGTCTAAATTTAACACATTGTTAATCAACTATTGAACAACCAGTAAATTCTTGAAATTATTGTTACATAAATTAAGTGTACATTGGATTACTTGACAGAATGAATGTTGTTGATGTGAGATTACCATGCCTGTGAAAAAGACTTTATTTGGTATGGTGATTTGATAATTGAGACAAACACTTTTTAAAAACTTTGCATGTAGTATTAGGATTATTATAATAATCTCTCATAGTTCATAACCAGAATAACTTTTAAAGAAAGTTTCATGGCAATGTTTTATCCCTCACATCTGTGTTAACTCTTTATTTAGCTTAAAGCTCAAAATGATCGAGAAACACAAAGTATGGATATCATATTCACTGAAAGACAAGCGTAAGTACAATCCAGTCAGAAATAAAACAGATTTATAAATGAGATATGTGAGGTAGTTTAAACTTCTGAGTCGTTTATTTCCTTACCCATTTTCTTGTTTTTCCCTGTTGCATTATTTTATTTTAAAAAGTTGAAATATTTGCAATACAAATTTTATTATTGATTATCTTTATTTACTATTAAGTACCCAAATTCTGTTCAGATAAAAGTACTATACATTTTTTAAAGATTTTATTAATTTTATGTTTAGAGAGAGGGGAAGGGGAGGAGAAAGAGAAGGAAACATCAGTGTGTAGTTGCCTCTCCTGCGCCCCCTACTGGGGACCTGGCTGGCAACCCAGCCATGTGCCCTGACTGGGACTCTTAACTGGCAGCCCTTTCATTCACAGGCCAGCAATCATTCCACTGAACCACACCAGCCAGAGCTAAAAGTACTATATTGATTAAAATAAAATTTCTACTTCTAGGAGTTTAAAATTCTAAGATGGATAAAGACATCTTCATATCTAACATTTGTAATTTTAACCTGGGCTTTTTAACTCACATGTATTATGAGATTTAAGCCCCAATCTAATGAAAGACAAATTACATATAGTATTTCATTATTTTATACATTATCCAATTATTAATTAATAATTGTTATACCAGTAATCCAGATCATAGGTATAGATTATATGTGCATGTTTATTTATAACCTGGTTAAAGATCAAATACCAAGGTAACAGTGACAGTGACAGTAATGCCTTCAAAATAACAAAAGGGCCCTGGCTGGTATAACTCAGTGGATTGAGCGCTGGCCTGTGAAGCAAAGGGTTGCCAGTTCGATTCCCAGTCAGGGTGCATGCCTGGGTTGCAGGCCAGGTCCCCAGTAGGGGACATATGAGAGGCAGCCACACATTGATGTTTGTCTCCCACTCTTTCTCCTTCCCTTCCCCTCTCTCTAAAAATAAATAAATAAACAAAATAATGAGTGGATGTCCATTTGGATTGCTGTAACAGTATTATTGACTGGGTATTTGTGTGTGTGTATATGTTGAAAAAAAATTTTTTTAAGTTACAGTTGTCTGCCCAGGCTGGTATGCCTCAGTGGACTGAGCATGGGCTGCTAACCAAAGGGTAGCCAGTTTAATTCCCAGTCAGGGCACATGCCTGGGTGTGGGCCAGGTCCCCAGTAGGCGGCCCACAAGAGGCAACCACCCATTGATATTTCCCTCTTTCCCTTCCCTTCCCCCTCTCTAAAAATAAATAAATAACATCTTTTAAAAAATAAATAAAACTAGTTGTCTCACATTTTTCCCCATTGCTCTCCATTGCCCTGCCTACCCCCCTGCTCCCACATCCTGTTGTCCATGCCCATGGGTCCTCTCTTTACATACCCTTGACTTACCCTTCTCCCTATTTTGTCCTGTTATTGTCCTCCCCTCTCCCCTCTGGTTACTGTTCACTGTCAGTTCTTTATTTCCATGTCTCTACTTCAGTTTTGATCATCTGCTTTGTTGATTAGGTTCCACTTATAGGTGAGCCATATGGTATTTATCCTTCACCGCCTGGCTTTTTTTTTCTCCCTAATATTCTTAGAAAGAGAGTAAGGGAGGGAAACATTAATGTGTGATTGCCTCTAGTACGCTCTCTGTTGGGGACCTGGCCCACAATCCAGGCATGTGCTCTGACTGGAAATTAAACCAGTGACCCTTTGGTCCAACACTCAATCCACTGAGCCAAGCCAGTCAGGGCACCATGTGGCTTATATCACTTAGCATTATACTCTCCAGTTTCATACATGCTGTCATGAAGGATAGGAGTTCTTTCTTTCTGGCTGCACAGTATTCCATTTTGTAAAAGTACCACAATTTTTTGATCCATTCATTTACTGATGGGTACTTCAGCTTTTTCCAGCACTTGGCTATTGTAAATAACACTGCTATAGGGGTGCATAGATTCTTTTTAATTGGTGTTTCAGGATTCTTAGGTGGAATCACTGGATGAAAAGACAGTTCCATTTTTAGTTTTTTGAGGGAATTCCATACTGTTTTCCACAGTGGCTGCACCAGTCTGCATTCCCACCAACAGTAAACTAGGGTTCCCTTTTCTCCACAACCTCTCCAACACTTGTTTGTTCATTTGTTAATGATGACCATTCTGACCAGTGAAAAGTGATATCTCATTGTGATTTTAATCTGTATCTCTCTGATGGCTAGTGATATTGAGCATCTTTTCATATGTGTATGGGCCCTCTATATGTCCTCTTTGGAGAAGTATCTGTTCAGGTCCTTTGCCCACTTTTTAATTGGATTGTCTTCCTGGTGTGGAGTCACACGAGTTCTTTGTGTATTTTGGCCCTCAACCTCTTTTCAAGGTATAATTGGCAATTATGTTTTCCCATATGGTTGGTTCCCTTTCCATTTTGTTCATGTTTTCTTTAGCTTTGCAGAAGCTTTTTAATTTAATGTAATCTCATTTATTTATTATTTCCTTTATATCCTTTGCCCTGGGGGAGGTATGGGTAAAATATTGGTGCATGGAATATCAGATTTTTCTACCTATCTTCTCTAAGACTTTTATGGTGTTGTGACTTATGTTTAAGTCTTTTATCCATCTTGAGTTTATATTTGTGTATGGTGTAAGTTGGTGGTCTAGTGTCATTTTGTTGTTGTTGCATGTACTTGTCTGAATCTCCTAAACACCATTTATTGAACAGCCTATTTTTACACCATTTTATGCTCCTGCCCCCTTTGTCAAACATTAATTGACCATAGAGACATGTTTTTTTTTTTCTGGTGTCTCTATTCTGTTCTATTTCGATATGGATCTGTTCTTATACCAATACCAAACTGTTTGGATTAGAGTGACTTTTTAGTATAGGGTGATATCAGGTATTGTGATTCCTCCTACTTTCTTCTCAAAATTTCTGAGGCTATTTGGGGGCAGTTATGGGTGGGTCCATATAAATTTTTGAAATATTTGTTCTGTATCTGTGAAATATGTTGTTGGTATTTTTATAGGGATTATGTTGAATCTGTAGATTGCTTTGGGTAGTATGGATATTTTGATGATGTTAATTCTAATCCATGAACATGGTATATGCTTCCAATTTATTTGTGTTTTCATTAACTTCTTTCTTCAGTGTTATGTAGTTTTCTGAGTACAGGTGTTTACTTCCTTGGTTAAGTTTATCCCAGGTACTTTATTTTTCTTATTGGTATAGCAAATGGGATTTTTTTCTAATTTTGGTTCTGATATTTCATTGTTGCTATACAAAAATGCTTTCAATTTCTGAATATTGACTTTGTATCTTGCTGTTTTACCAAATTCACTTACTAGGTTGAGTAGTTTTTTGGTGGAGTCTATAGGGTTTTCTGTGTATACTATCATGTCATCTGCAAACAGTGACATTTTTACTTCCTCCTTTTCAATTCAGATGCCTTTTATTTTACTTGTCTGATCACTGACTAGAACTTCCAATAATATGTTGAATAGAAGTTGTGAAAGTGGACAGTCTTTTCTTGTTCCTGATTTTAGCGGGAAAGATTTTACTTTTTGCCCACTGAGTATGATGTTGGCTGTAGGTTTGTCATGTATGGCCTTTATTATGTTGAGGTATGCTCTGTGTACTCCCAGTTTGCTGAGTGTTTTTATAATCAATGGGTGCTGTACTTTACCAAACACATTTTCAGCATCTATTGATATGATCATGTGATTTTTGTCTTTGCTTTTGTTTATGTGATGTATTACATTTACTGATTTCTGTATATTGTACCATCCTGGCATTCCTGGGGTGAATCCTATTTGATCATGAGGTATGATCATTGTAATGTACTGCTGGGTCTGGTTTGCCAATATTCTGTTGCCTCATTTTAGCATCTAAGTTCATCAGCAACATTTGCCTGTAGTTTTCTTTCTTTGTTGTGTCTTTATATGGTTTTGGAAATAGGATAATTATGGCCTCATAAAAAGAGTTTTGGAGTCTTCCCTTTTCTTGGATTTTTTGGAATAGTTTGGCAGGATTAGGGTTAGCTCTTCCCTAAATGTTTGGTAAAATTCTCCTGTGAAGCCGTCCAGTTCAGGCTTTTGTGTGCTAGGAGTTTTTTGATTGCTGCTTCAATTCCAGTATGTGTTATCAGTCTATTCAGGCTTTCTGCTTCTTCTTGACTCAGTTTTAGAAGATATTTGTTTCCAGAAATTTGTCCATTTTGCCCAGGTTTTCAAATTTCTTGGCATGTAGTCGTTTGTAGTAATTCCTTATGATCCTTTTTATTTCTGTGGTACTGGTTGTAATTTCTCCTCTTTTGTTTTTTATTTTATTTGGGTCCTCTTTTTTTTCTTGATGAGTCTGGTTTCAGGTTTGTTGACTTTTGTTTATCTTTTCAAAAAACCACCTTCTGGATTTATTGATCCTTTGAATTGTTCTTTTAGTTTCTATGTCTTTTAACTCTGCTCTGATCTTGATTATTTTCTTCTACTTGCACTGGGCTTTGTTTGTTTTTGTTCCTCTGTTTCTTCTAGATATAGGGTTAGGTTGTTTATTTGAAATGTTTCTGTCTTTTTTAGGTACCTCTGTGTTACTATGAACTTCCCTCTCAGGACTGCCTTTGCTGAATCCAATAGCTTTTGGACTATTGTGTGTTAATTTTCATTTGTTTCCAGAAACTTTTATTTCTTCCTTGATCTCATTATTTACCCATTCATTGTTTAATAACATGTTATTCAGTCTCCATGGATTTTATTGTTTTTTAGTTTTTTTCCTTTGAGATTGGTTTCTAGTTTCAAGCCATTGTGATCCAAGAAGATGCTTGATATAATTTCAATTTCCTTGAATTTGTTGAGGCTTGTTTTGTGTCCTATCATATGGTGTGTCTTTAAAACTGTCCCATGTGCATTTGAAAAGAATGTATATTTGGTTCCTTGGAGTGCAAAGTTCTAGATATATCAGTTAAGTCCATTTGCTCTATAATGCTGTTCAGTGCCACAATACCTTTGTTGATATTTTGTTTTGAAGATCT